CTGGCATTTCTTTCGTTTCGTACTTTGCATCTCAAGAAATAACGGCAAGAAAGTGTTTTTTGCAGCTATTTTGCAAGAAATGCAAGAAACTACTTCCTGTCGCCATATTTTTCATGTGGCACGTGGCTAGATGGCATATTTCTTGCACTTTCTCTCATTTTCTTGCACCTCGCATTTCTTGCATTTCTAACTTTGCACTGCAAGAAATCTAGCAAACCCACCAGAAACGAAACACTGGCCTGGAAGTAACGGGTCAAACCTATTGAACAATTCTTCTAACCGTGCTATCATTTTCTTCATCTTTTTAGCGATACAGATCTGATCTGATCCACTTTTTTTCTCTTATTTGGTCGCAAGATGTGATACTAATGGTCCATCTTGGATATTATCTATTGTGGTTTTGGTGTGGGTGATGCCCTACCAACCAAACCAAACCACAGAAGAATCTACACGATCCTAGTTAGTTATTAGTGGTTGCGTTTTTTGGTAGTTGACCCGTGTGTGCGTATGCAATAATCAAGTGTAATTTAATTTGGTTGCTCGATGATTATTGGTAATTGGGCAATTGTCCCGTAAAAGGAGAGACTTTTCCTTCGAGGTGAGACGAGCAGTTTATCATTCTGCTCAAAAAAGATCGAGTCCAATGCATGGAATGACGCGAGTAAAAGAATTATTTTTTTTGGAAGGGTTAAATAGCTTCAATCAAATGTATGAAAAGGTGCAAAAATTTAACCAATTTTCATACGGAGCTAATAGCATGCATCTACATTTGTTTAGAACGATATATAAATTACAATACAATTATAAAATTGGCGTTGAAATTACTCATATTTTGTAATTCTTAATCTTTAACCGGACTCGATCACAATTAAAAAAATATATATTTTCAAAGTATTAAATAGTTTCATATTTTATGAAAAATACTAAAATTTTATGTAAATTTTATGCAAAAATCATATAATTCTGATTTTTAACTTCAGCCAACTTGAGCCAACCATTTACCTGATCTGATATTTACGTTCGATTAAACAATATAAATTCTACGCTTTTCCAATCGGAGTTGAAATTGCTCAAATTTTGCCCAATTTCAATTACTTTACTTTTCCCATTTACTCCTGCGCATTTGTAACTAAATAAATTTTCATGAATGAAATGAACACTTGCATCAGCAGCATCGTCGCTTTTATGAATGAATCTCTTGCACGCAGTCAGAATAACAATTAATTAATTTAAATCTGTTAATGTTCATTATCTTTTCTTTTCATTGATGCAACATCTTCTACACAACTACCTGAAAACCGCATCCTCCTCACAAAACAACACCACTACTTGTCTGTCGCCTTCTCGTCTGATGATGCTAATCTCCCGTCTTATCTTTCCTTCTTGTTCTTCTTCACCGTGTTAAATAATGTGGACGAGTAGTTCCTCTCTCCATGTGGAAAAAGATAAGGTCTCATCTGCCTCATCACACCAGAGTTAAATGGCAAAATAGCGATGATTTATGCATTTAAATGGATACAATAAGTGAGTGAACCCACTTGCACTTGATCCATTCCTCACTTTGATAATAATCCATCTCAAAATCTGAATGAAATAAAAATTCTGAAGAGCACTTTTTTCGATGGGTATCGATTCAGTCTGAAAAAAGTGGCTGCAGCTCAAGGTGCGAAGATAATAAAGTGAATCTAATTGTTGCAGATAAGATTTTTATCGGGAGAAGAGTGAAATTCAAACGAGTTTAGATAAATTAATCAAATATCGATACGTTTTTACTGGGAAGGCATCAATTAGGATTTTTATTTAGAAAAGTGGTCGCTCGAGAAAACAAAACCGTAAAATTGGCAAACTTTGTATCCATCGTCGGAAATTTGAGACTCGAAATAAAATAAATCGAACAGTTTTAGATTTTTATCGGGAGGAGAGTGAAATTCAAACGGGTTTATTTTTATTACCGAAGAATTAATCAAACATCGATACATTTTTATCAATTAAGATTTTTATTTAGAAAACAGGTCTTTCAAAGAACAAATCCATAAAAAAATTGCAAAATTCACATTTTCTTCCTTCACTCGGAAATTTGAGACTCCAAATCAATAAATTAAATACTTCAAAATTAATCAAAATTCCATATATTCTACCCATTCATCAATTAAGATTATTTAGAAACTGGTCCCTCGAAAAAAATTAGCAAAATTCTCATCTTCTCCACTCGTCGGGAATTTGAGACTCCAAATCCAATAAATTCAACACTTTCCACACCAAAAAAGTCAACTTCGTCACTTGACACTGGGATGGTCAACGCTTTCTTGTTGTGTCTGTGCAGATGTAGACATGCTCATAAAGTAGCATGTTTAATGTTGCATACTTGTAAAATACGATAATACGATATCCTTGTCCAATTATTTAAATGTGATTTAATTAGGGGATAAAGTGACTGGCAAGACAGGCGAAAAAAGCGATCTGGCTCGATAAGATCGTATCGAAACCGGCTTAACTCTGTTATATTACAATTATCGTAATTATTATTAGCCTATGTATGAGTTGAAATTGCACCAATTCGTTCCCCACACTATGCAAATGCAAATATGTACGATCATAAATTAACCTTCGCTTGTTGTGACAAGTTGACAGCATTCATCAAACATTCATTTCATGACATGGGGTCGCAATGACCTGATCCAAATGTAAGGACGACATTTAAGATCACTATTGATTGACAGGTTGGCAAAAATTTAGCCATTTTTTTTGCACAAGTAAAGTGTCGTCAACTTGATCTAACTGTAATATGCACATTTGTATAATTAACCGTTATAAATTATCTAAATATATCTGTCTGCATTTTTAGACCATGCAAAGCAAATGCAGCAACTTCCTTCCGCCCTCATTATTTCGATTAGGTAATTATAACGACGACGACGACAACAACAACGACCAGACGACAATGATGTGTTACCTACATTATAAAAATGTAGACATTGTAATGTAATTAATGACCGGTGAAAAAAAGTAAGTAAAACCTTCTGCTGGACTACAAAGTAAGTAAAGCAATGCGGGTCGGTTATGTAAGTTTGCACATAAATTGCACTCAGACGATAAGTACTCGACTTCCGGTTACAATTTATTTAGTGAAAAAATATATGCCTACGTGAAGAAAAGCTATTCTTGTTTGATCCAGTTGTTCTTGTTGGGCCTGCATTTCGTAATCATATTATAACAGCTTTTTTTATTACTTGTTGCGATAAAATGAAAAGGTGGCAGACTTCCAGACTCCTCATTCATGGTCCGATGTAATAAAAGGGGATTAAAGAAGAGAGCAAGTAATTAAAAATTCTGCTCAGGCGACAAAGAGGAAACTAACGAAATTGAAAAGTTTGTCGTTTCAATTTTCCTCAAAAAAATTTAGAAACTTCCGGACTTAAAAATTGTTTCATAATTTCATTTTATTTCATTTTATTTCAATTTATTTTATTTTTCACCACATTTTTTGAAAAACTGTCAAAATTATAAAGTTTGCCGTTTCAATTTTCCTCCAAAAAATTTCAAACTTTCGGACTTAAAAATTCCTCAAAAACCAAACCACCCCTCTGAAAAAAATGCCATGTTGCATACAAAACTGTTACGTAATTTCCCTTTATTTTATTTCTCACCACATTTCTTTTCTCGAGAACCAACCCAACTCACGAATTTGAGACAAGGTATAAAATTTAGAACCGAGTTTTACCAGAAAAATGTGAACATTTCCCATAAAAATAAATAACAAGGGAAGAAAAAGTATGGGTAGAGGTACAGGTCTCTAAAAACTCGCTGGGTTGGGACAGTCACCACCACTGCATTCGAATAAATTCCTGGACAATTGGACATTAAGTAGTGAGAGACAAAACAAAGGCAGAGTTTAACAAGGTCTTGTCTACTTAAATCTAATCATTGGTGGTGCAGGGTGCAGGTAAAAAGTGGACGTTCGCCTCCTTATTAAATGGTCACCCCGAGTTGGATCTTGGCTACAAAATGTACACGATGTCATGTCGCCCTGTCCTCTGTCCCATCCATCTTAACCCAACGGACGGAGCTGGTTAATAAGTCAGTTAGCTGACAAGGACAACATCACATTTTTCTTAATAAACCAACAGCAGAAAGAAAGAAAAACCAGTCCGGAAATTTATTCCTGGGTTTGTTCTTCCTTCTTCTTAACGAGGAATGAAACAAGCTCTCCAAATTTTGTGTTGGGTCCAAGCCCTACCTTAATTTTTGTTGGTTGGTTAGTTAGTTAGTCGGGAATGTGGTGGTGGACTGGACGTGGACCATTTGTTCGAGAACATGACGACGTTTTTGTGGGGAGGGAGGAGTGGGTCACATGTCGTTGGATGGAGATACACAATTTATCTTTTTATCCAATAAGTTGTGTGTAATTAGAGCAACTCGATGGTTGGGAGGAAAGTGTAGAAGGTGTCGTTTTCTAGGAGTCATTTATAACGCGTCTGAATTTAATTGACGTGGGGCTCGATGACTAATCAGCGCATTTGTAATGATTTCTCGGCTCTATGAATTTATTTCAAAATTCTGAATTACAAATTTGTAGGACAGGTCGTTGCAAATTTTTGTAAAAATATATACACTCCAGATTTTGCTTCAGTCAGAAACATTGAAACTCATCGAAACTGGCATAAAAACTTCACGCCATTCTATCAATCAACTTACTGACTACAAATTTGTCGTCCAGAATTTTGAAATAAATTTCCAGAGCCGAGAAATGATTAAAAATGTATTGATTTTGACGATTTTTGTGATGGGTTCAACGTTAATGAGGAGAGAAATTGGAGGGAAAGTGAGACAAGAGATCATCACGATTTATAACGAGAGAAGAACTGGACTAGAACAAGTAGTAGTCTGAACTTGTTCGGTCAGTTCTAGTTTAAATAATGTGAAATTGTCATGAAATGCAGATGTTGCATCGTATTAGCAAAGTTTAAACAAAATCACTACTGAAGTGAATAAGCGTTCGATATGTTAACAAGCATTTATTCCATGATGAAAGGCAGCTCTGATGAACGGAAAAGTCACCCCACAATTTATATACGTTTGCATGTAAGCATTGTTGAAATCCAAACAGTACTCACCCTGCCACCTGAACAATGCTGACTACAACAATGAGAATGCATACTCTTTGTCTTCACGCTACTCGCATCATGACTTACAGAGTGGAATAATAACTAGTGTATATACAAAATCTTAGTAATTAATAGTAATAGTTAACGTTTAATGCTGCGGTAAAAAAGGTAAAAAAACACATGGTTGTCGTATCACATAGAGTTGATATCCGTCCCTGCGCATATGAAAAGGTAGCTCTGTCACAAATTTATTAATTTACCCAGTCTACGAATCAATAATAAACCCAATTTTGCCTGTTTGGCACAGCGCTACCTTTTCATACGGACAGTCAAATATAAAATTTTCAAATATACAATAAAATTAGATATTGTACATACAAATTACGCTAATTAGTTCCATCAGCTATGCGCTTCAGGTACATAAAAGTTAGTAACGTTAACGGTTTGGAAGTGGGATGAACTCGTCGTCTAAGAAATCTTCATGACCAAGAAATCCGTCGGCAAGGAATTCCGACTCTTCTTCCGCCATTGGTTGAGACCGGGGTTGTTTAACTGCATCTTGTCCTTTTATCTTGGTCGCGTCCCATCCAACGGGGTCAGATTCGACGAGTTGCGAGAGTGGAATTGGGTATGCTACGTGCGGATTTGTTACCGATGCTGGTTGATAATTCATAGCTGCTTTTTGTTCTTGCGAAAGAGCGAACGAAACGGAGGCGGAACCCACGTGTTCTTCTTCGCATTCTGTACTCATGCCCATTATTAACTCACCTAAAAAAAAGTTAGTTTGGTCAGATACATTTCAATAATTTGAGTTGTATTCTATTCGCATAACTTACGGTCATTCTTGGTCAAGTTAATTTGAAACATGTACAACTTGAGGGCCGGGATCAGTCTGAGAAACGTCTTATACGCATCAGTACCAAGGGCAGCAGCCAAGTTGTCACTCCTCGTTCGAAGAAAGTCCATAATGAGGAGACCTTTTGCTAAAGCCAGGTCAAACACGTCAGGTATCTTTTGCATTTCCACGATATACGACGGGAGCGAATCTGTGCTCGGTAATAACTTTTTAGATTGAATGCAGTCATTTAGATTCCATTCTTGCCGGTGGTAAGTTAACTTCTCGTTCATAAAGTTTTCCATATCCTCCATCATCCCTTCAATGTAGGCTTTCTTCGTCCTGAGAAAGTTTAACCGGTCCGTTCCCCCCTTCTCTTTTGACATGGAAGCATCGGAATCTTCTTGACAGGAAATTGGAGGGGTTTCTCTGCCTGAAAGGGATGACTTTATATATTCCAAGCGATCCAGTTCTTCTTGCTCCCGAATTAAACGAGTTTCCAAATTTCTTGTATATTCCAGGTGTCTAGCGACTATGAAATATACCAATTACTTCACCGGCATTTTTAAACAGTTAATTTTTCGTATTTTCTTACGCCAAGCATCAAAAACCATCCTCAGAACGGTAATTGCTGACCCCATCAAAGCCTTCCTACACTGACATAGCTTATCCCTCCCGTATGGATCTTCATACTTGGTAGGATCCAGCCAACATGAGAGACAAGACTTTAGCAAATCTGTATCATCCACCGCGGGCACTTCGACGCTTGGTGTGACATTGTACTTGACTGGACACGCAAATTGACTTGAAGGTACTGAATCATCCACCTCCATGTCTTCAGTTCTTAGGTTTGAAAGTTCAGGTTTTGGGTTTGAAGGTTGAGGAGTTATGGCCTTCTTTGAAACGTCGTCTTCACCAAGTTCCTGCCTCGCATACTTGCTCTGATGATAAGGCGTCACCTTGTCCCGCATCAGTGTTTCCAAAAGAAACGCCAAGTCGATGAATAGGCGAGCAATATCGGTCGGATTATTAGATGCTTCTTGGCACGATTTCAGCACACTTTCTCCAATCATTCTTGCCAGGCAGGTATTCGCTGTGGATTGGATAACAAATTTGGTAAGATTGCTAATATAATTACAAATAATTATCAGCTTACCCTCATTACGCTTGAAGCACAGGTATCGCACAATGCACAAATCGGAGATGGACCACGTTGTAATTCGTACAATGCGCTGCACATTTAACGTACTTCGAAACCATTCGTGACCTAAGACGTCCTTCATTATACGATACAGAATTTCGTATCTAATAACAAAAAAATATATTTAGAAAAGTGAAATTTCACATAAAATAAATAAAGTGTGGCAAAAAACGTATTTTTACCTATTCGCAGTCTGTTCGAAGTACCCGGAAAGCACAATGCTTTCTAAAATTCCAAGTGTCAACTTTCTAAGCTCTATTTCCAGCGTCTATATAAAAAGTCGGATATTTTAAAATTATTTATTTCCACATTTCACGTTATTTATAACGTTAGATAAATTACATACCTCTGAAAAATAGTCCCTCCAATCACACTTTAGAACCAGACCGGTCCATCCTCTCAACTCTTTAACCCATTGCTGTCTGTTCTTTAGGACTAGTTCTGTCTCCTCCTCCTCGATAAGGACACCCCTCCATAATTGATTAGCCCAGAAAATCAGCCTCCAAAAATTCATTAGTGTATTGAACTCATAAAGGCGAAAGCGAGCTTGACCTTCCATACTTTTAAACAGTTTTTGCAACCAGTCACGAACTTCTCCCAGTGCGCCCCACGTTCCTCCGTACTTGAAACGGATAGAAATTGCATTCTTGATGTCAAAATATTGTGGTCCCGTACCGAATTTTGAGGGAAGAATGGGTGGCAAGGGTTCTACGAGAAATAAAACATTTGGCATTTTCAAATAATTGAATGGGTGGCATAACACTAATTGATTGACATATGCTTTGGTGGAAATAAATCTTCGCCAAACTGGTAAATAAATTATCCTGAAAGTACCGGATAACGAAATTATTGTCACATTTAGCGAAAATGTAAAACTCCTAAAAGCAGATTTGGCAAAATATATAAGTTCACGCATTTATTCATGTCAAATACTTTAAAATTAAAATAAATATGCAAATTTTGGTGGTACTATCGTTATGATTTAAGATACTCAATTGCCATTTTCCCCAAATTTGCCATTTTTCGCCAGGTTGTACTTTAGATACTTTAGAAACCTTATGCTAAAAATCCAGTAGAATAGGTGAATTTTTTTTCGTCAAATGGGATTTTGTTCTGATTAATTTTTTTTCGCCAAAAGGGTTTAATAATACCTTTAATTCCTGTCTCAATTCTCTCTTTTCGCCTCTTCTCCTCTAATCCCCATTGAAACATTATGTCAACAACGGACGGGAAGGCATACTTGATTTCGCAGCGCTTTATTTGCTTTTTCATAATGTTTCGGGGCGCTATTTGCGTGACATACTTCAAACAAGGCTGCATCAGTTGAAACTCCAGGTCCACAATTTTGTCCATCTTTTCAAATATTTTCTCTCGTGTGGTAACCGATTGTGAGCACCAGTCCAGCTCGTCTCTGCAGATGCGTTGTGGGGGTGCGATGGTTGACTGAGGAAGAGGGGGAGGCACAGAGAAAGACTCATCAGTCTGAACAAACGTTGTGCTTGTTGCGGCGGGCGGCGCTCTAGAACTGGAGAAACAAAGGCAAACGTTCCAAATTTAAATTCAGGTAGCTACTAAATTTTCGTTAATAAATTGACTGATTACATAGCTTTTGGCGAGTCTGTTCTTAGCAACTTTGCCACTGGTGGTGCCATTGTCTTTGGTGACATCGTCCTTGTTCCATTCCTTGCCCAAGGTGAACTTTTCTTTGAATTTGGTATAGCACGAGCTCCCCGTTGAGGTTCGGAAGCTTCAATTACGTTTATCATTTCTACGTCGTCAATAGAATAGATGGAAGGAGGAGATGGTTCGAAAGGAGGAGCAGAAGTAGAAGTCACATTATTCACGCTGGTCTCATTGCTTTTACGTTTGTCTGCAAAGTTCCAATTCTTCTTGATTGCTTCTTGCTGCAAAATGAGTATTTCGTTTTCCAGTTTAGCAATTATTGCTTTGTCTCCTTCCAAAGGTTTGGCACCACCGCAACGGACAGCTAATCTGTGCCAGTAAAGAATATAGAACATCATTAGGAAACTCAATTCAAAAAGTAGATAAATGCAATTTAGTTAATTGTGCATTTTTATACCTTGATTGAAAATCGATCCGTTGTTCATCCTTCAATTTGTCGTTCGTCCTTCGCAACGTGGACACTTCGCCTTTTAACTTGTAATTCTCTAATTTAATATTTTCAACCTCTGCCAGCAAAGCTTTGATTTTTTCATTTGTCTCGGCCGTTTCTTCGTTTGCTTTCAAATCCGCTTTTTCTTGACGTAATACGTTATTCGTTTGTGCCGGAGTGTCCGCAACAACATCGAACAGCAATTGCTCCCTTCTCTGTTCCAAACTCATCATCGGGATCAGCATATCTGGAGTTTTATTATTGTTGTTGTTGCGGTTTTGATTCTGGGGAGGACTAGGTCCATTATTTCTTCCAGCAAAGACGCCACTAGAATCACCACCACCGTGCAATTCAGACATTTCTGCTTGCTAAACAAACAAAAAAACATATCATATTTTCATTCATTAGCCAGGGGGTGAGCAAAATACATACATAATTTGTAAAAATACCGTTTTTTTTAGCTCCATTCTTCCCTGAGTTTGGATTCCCAGGGCTGTTACACCCACAAAAAGATGATAATCTAAATGGAAAATGCAAGTCTTACGCAAATATTGGTTTTGTGAAGAAATTAACATTTTATCGTTGTCAAAATACTTTTAAAAAAATCGTGAAAACAATGTATTATGACTAAAAAGCTGATTTCTTCACAAAACCTGTATTTTCGTGTGACTGTTGTATTCTCCACGTAGATTTTAGTCTTTTTGTGGGTGTAAAAAAAAGCCCTGAAAATCCAAACCCTGAGAAGAACGGAGCTCAAAATACTGTATTTTGACAAAGTGTTTTGCCCACATCTGTCATTTGCATATCTGAATGACTGCACTTTTCCTAAATATTACCTGAGTAGCCCGAAACAACAACTGGTCCATGTCGTCGTCATCCCCCCACACGGATTCATCGGCGGCAGGATCGGTCCCATTTTTCAGGTCGTCCGTCGTCTTGGATGTGGACTTGGATTGTTCCATGGAAGAATCCTTTATCAAATTCTGTCTACCAGTCGTAATTGCGTTACTTGATTGACTCCTCGGAACACCAAAACCGACTCCAATTGGTCGAACGGCTTGGCCATTGTAGTAAAAGCCCTTCGACATCCTTCAGCAAGGAACTGCGTAGACAATTAACAAAAATATATAATTAATTAGTCATTATGGTAATTAATACGCAGAATTACATACATATTATATAAATATTTAACTAGAGTAGAAACTTCAAATTATAATAACGCTAAAAACTGGACTACTTTCCAAGATCACTCAAATTTTGCTTCAATTTTACATTCTATTTATTGCTTAAATCGGTTTGCATAATATTTTGTTTCGGCGATTGGTCTATTACATCAAGCATTCCTGTTTTTTTAGCTAAAACTTCGCAGACATGGTCATCGAATGCAAACGCGGAGATTATAACGTTATTAATTGCTACTACAAAAAGTCCAGCTATTAAAACCCCAACGACATTATCGACACGAGTATCTGTCGCTGGCATTCTTGAAATAATTACGTAACCGACTCCAGCCACGATCTGAAAGGAACAATAAATAATAAATATTAACAAAACAATGTGGTAGCAAATTATACAATAAAATTACTTCGATAAGGATGGAGACACATATAAGAAAGTAATTGAGAGCAGGATAAGCATGTGCTTTAGAATACGCCACGACATATCTGAGTTGTGACGCTGATGCGGATAAAAGTGCGAGTGAGACGATTGCAAAACATAAACAGGACGATTTTCTATTGGCTTCAGCTCTTGCGCTGGCTGCCGAAGCCTTATTTACAGCCATCGATGGAGGGACGCGACTGGGTCCTCCGGCTCCTACCGATTCGTAAGAGTTTTGCTATGAATTAAATAAAACTCGAGTAAGTAATTGTGTTCAAACCGAAGGAGGTCACACCTTATTGGCAAAGTCTTCAAATTCTATGTGCAGTCGGGTTTCAATATGAGCCCCACGTCTTACAGAAAGATAACGACGAAAGGTGGCCTCGTCCGTGACCGAGTCTGGAATTTCGATCGGAAGTGCGGTAACTTCTCGGGAGAAGGAACGACGTGACCCGGATGATCGTCCACCTCCACCAAGTCGTGGGGAAGAACGTTGATATCCAACCTCGATATCGTTCTGAAGTGCAGACTCGGCGCCGATAAGGTCCTCATTAAATTTTCGAGATGCCGCTCTCCTCCCAAAACTATCCCGTGAAGTTGAACGAAGACTTGAAGCAGAACCACCGCCTCGATCGAATGATGCTGACCGGCCCAACCTCGTCCTGGAAGAGTCGCCCAGCAAGGAGGCCATACTCGTGTTACGTAACGAGTCGCTACTCTCCCTTCTTCTATTGTTGTTAGAAATTCGTTTCGACGATGTTTGTTTTTTCGAGTATAACGAAGATTTCGATCTTTGCACTGGTGGTGGGAAAGGTCCAACGTCTTCATCTTCGTACTCGTCATCCTCCTCGTCCTGCTCAGGAGAAGGATAGTTGAAGTTGTCATTGCTTTTAGTTTTACTGCCTACAATAAAAAATAAAAATTACATTAATATTAATTGTCCTCATTTAAATTCGATTGAAAGTCTGAAATTCAAACTCACCTGGAGCAATTATTTCCTCCTCTTCCTCCTCAATTTCATAAACGTTCTGCTTCCCCTTTGATGCGCCGGGTGCGGCTGCCTCGTAATAATAGGTCTGACCTTGGCTCCATCCCCCAGCTGGTGGCTCCTCCTCATCATTAATCTCACTCACGATGAACCCTTTACTCACAGCTGCACTTCTCGAAGGAGAAATGCGTCTGGACTTTGATGGCGACACGGTACCAGAATTTTTCGCCCTTGTCGACAAACTTGACCCTCGAGAAGAAGCCCTGCTCCTCGGAACCTGGTCGTCCTCTTTTCTTAATTGAGAATCACTGCTGTCCATTCCGGGAAGAAATGCTGCCATCCTTTCATTCAGAAATTGTACTTCGACCCCTCCCCTCGACTTGGAATTTCGTTGCGGCAGGTCATGCTGACTCCCTCGGTCTGCATCGTGGAACACCTTGTCCAACAGTTCTTGACCAAATTCTTGTTCAAATTCTCGGTCGTCGAGCGGCAAAAGGTCAGGGGATCGAGGGTACGTCATGCTATTTGTCATTAAAGAAGCATTATCATCCCCGGCGTCGTTATCATCTTCATCTTCGTCAACTTGATCATATTCTGTGTCCCTTTTCCTTGGGGGTGGAGGAGGAAGCGCGGTTTCACTGCCCGTTGGAGGAGAAGCAGTCCTTTCCTTGTTTCGATGTGGCTTATCTTTCTTGTGTCCACCACCACCACTACGGTCGCGATGTCGTAAGTTGTCGGACAGTTTTTTGTTGAGGCGACGTTGCATTTTGACACAATTTCTATTATCTTTAGCTTGAAAGTTAAGCCACTCGAATTGATTTGTTATTAATTTAACCATTCGCCCATTTCAGTTATTTTTATAAGAAATGTGTGATCTTGATAAGTAGTTAGTTTAGTACGAAATATTCTAAATTACTTGTTATGTTATTTATCTTACACGTTAGTATTTGTAAACTTACCTTTACGAAGAATTGGACCACGACGTTGTTTCTTAACTTCTAATTGCTAACGTAACTGATGAATGAATTAAAAATTTGAACATTAATTTGAGTACTACATTGTAGTAAGAAATAATTATTTAGTACTAATTAACAATATAATTAAAATTAAGTAGGAAATTTCAACAAAAACATGGAATGAGAATACAAAAGCACGAGAGCGACACTTTCCCCGCTACTCCAACCACCTTTGTCTCTTGCAAGCCTTGTAAGTGAGTCAGCGTCACAATTTCATGCAAATTATGCTTTCACCATTGGATTCGCTTTCACTTTTCCTTTGAAAGTGAAAATATTTTTATTTATTGCATAATGTCAAAGTTTTATTCAAGTGGTTATATTTCTTGTAATGTATATACTTAAGAATTTGCATATTTATTGGCACAATTTGCACAATTCGCACAATTCTAATGCAATTAACTTGATATGGTGTTACGCCGTGTTTGAAAACTGAGCGTACACAACTAAAACAATTAGTTACATAAATTAGTTACATAAATTAGTTACATAAATTAGTTACAAATTATGATTTGACAAGTAATTTCGACAAATCTAGTTACATATAAATATTTCGTCGAAAAAATATTTGCACAATAAAAGACAACATTTATTCATAATCTGTAAATTGCAATTTTTTTCTATAAAATTTTAGTATATTTATATATATTTGTATGTTATATTTATATTTTCGAATTTATTCTAATTTTGTTCCTATTTATCTCTCCATTAACTGTACCGGAAGCCCATTGTCGGATCGTAATGTGATTTCTGAGAGCAATTTCAAGTCTTCCAGAGGCATCATAACTTTCACTTTGAAGTTTCGTAGGACCGTGGAAAGAATGACTTTCTCCTCCATCATGGCGAACTTCTGTCCGATACAATTCCTCTGCCCTGTTCAAAGTTTATTTGCTAATCAGTGTCTGCGAATGCTGTGGGGACATCTGGGGACATTTTGTAGGATAGGAGAAGGAGGGATTTATACAACATGGACAGATGGTGGGGACTCTAATATGCATTTTATCCGCAAATTAATACCGATATTTGTATGTAAATATGTACCCGCAGAGAAAGGGATGTATTCCAACGCATCGTATGATTCCAACCCGGGGAGGAAACGCTCCGGCCTAAATTCCTCCGGATTCTTAAACACATCTGCGTCTTTGTGAATCTTGTAAATGAAAATGCCCACCGTCGCACCCTTCGGCAGTATTCGACCATCATCTGTGCAGAAAACAAATTAATGATCATTTGCAGAATTTTTGCAAGGTAGCTTTTTTTCCAATAATTTGCTAAATTCTTGCAATTTTTATCTGACCGAGAGGAATATCCGTCGATAAGGTGCGCTGAATGAATGGGACGGGCGGATAGAGGCGAAGCGATTCTTTAATCACCATCTCCAAATATTTCATCCTGTTTAAATCTTCCGATGTGACGGGGCGATGCTTATCATTGCCGAAAATCGAGTCCAGTTCTTCATGAACTTTTTCCTGTGTTCACACATACATACATTTTTGCATTATTGCAAAATTACTTTTCGACAATATTTTTATCGTGAGAAGAGACCTGAAATTGTGGATAAGATCCCAACACGAACAGCGTAAAGCTAGAGCTGGACGAAGTCGTGTCATGTTCTTAACATGATTAAAATATTTATTAATTATTAATTCCGCAGTTAAATATTATTAATCACCTCCAAGCATAAAGGTGTCAGTTTCTTGGCGAATGTCGACATCGCTCAATTCTTTCTCCCCTTTTTCGACCTGGACTTGGAGGAGCAGATCCAGAAATGCTAAGCGTTTCTTACCTGCAGTGCGAAATATAAATAAATTCGTGACTAAATTGTTAATTTTTCACAAAAGTTTGGATCCTCATTTTTAAAATAAATATCTTCGAAAAGCAAAATATTTATAAATAAATTCATAGTTTTTTTTCACAAATTTTAGATCATGTTTTGATCCTTACTTTTAAAATAAATCATTTCGGTATCATTTTCCTCCCCAAACTGGTCCTCCCTTGCGGCCTGTTCCTTTTCCCTTAAAAATGTAGCCTTTCTTTTCGCAATTACCTGTGTAGTGAAACCATGCAACATTTTAAGGCTCTCTTGCTGTCTTTGGTACAAGGAGGAAAGTTTCCACGTGGTTTCAAACCGAAGCCAAGGTCGTAAAGAACGATCTTTCGTGAGGCGTCGATAGCTAGAAAATTTACGAGTTTTTAACCATTCCAAATTTATGCAAAACAAAGGTTTTTTTCAATTTTGACATCCTTACTCGTTGATCGCTTTAGTGTAATCGCCGTCAGGAAAATCTTGTGCATTGCTGGAGGTCCCCATTGCCGTCACGCAAATAATATCTAAGGCACATCGCGTCACGAAATTATGGATATCGACGGTATTCCCAGATTGTGATTCTTTTCTTAAAATGTCCACCATTTTTTGCGACTCTTTGTTAAATACGTGCATGAAATCTTCCAAGATTTTAAAGTGGAAGGTCGGATTTAACATTTTGCGACGGTTTTCCCATTTTTCACCTGTTTTAATTTGAAACAGAATTAACTCGTAATAGTGTAAACCTAAAAATTATCTATTTTTAGATTCAATAAAATCTTAATTTTGTGAAAAACACACGACGATAAGCAGGTATCAAAATCACCATTTGAATACATGGAAGAAATGAAAGTTGAGATGAGACATAATAATTCAAATTCAATACCCATCCACCAGTGGGGCCCTGATAATAATTTGTTTTAGTCTTTCTTTCCTAAATATCTACTGTTTTTGAAAATTTCGAAAATTTTTGTTAATAATGTACTTATCTAAAATTGGAAATTTTAAATATCTGCATATTAAATAAACTACAGTGCAGACTTGATATAGCCCGAGCCAGGGGCACAGTCATCTTCTAAATTTGTGTCCGAATTGCACGGACTACCAATTGTTTGTAAAATATTTTGTATTATATTTGGCACACAATTTTTAAATACCTCCATACCAAATTTCAGCTGAAAATAGCAACATATAAAAATCAGTATGGGTCACCGGTTAGGGTCACTCTTCTGGTTCCACTTTGTTCACTTTTAATTTCATATTCTTTCATGAGACGCCATGAAGTATCATTGTACAGAATCTCATCGTTTTAAGACAATTTCTGAAAATCGGTGTGGGTTACCCCATAGGGTCACTCCTCGTACAAATTTTAGCCAATTTCACTTTGTATTCTTCCTTTAGGAGCCACTAGCAACTTCTATGCAAAATTTCAGTTTAATTGGTTGATTTTGAAAAATCTGTATGGGTCATGCAATAGGGTCCCTCCAGACAAAATTGTTTCCAATTTCAGTTCATATTCTTCAAGTAGGACCCATTAGCAACCTTTGTACCAAATTTCAGCTTTCTACCACAATTTTGAATTTTTGGTGCGTAATACCACACCCACCTATATGATCCCCACGGGTTAACCACTTGGCCGATTTCACCCATCTTCGAACTTAACTCCTCATTTTACCCATACTATATGTGTGCAAAATTTCAAGTCAATCGGATTAGTTTTACGACAGTTATCGCAAGACAGACAGACAGACGGACAGATAGACGAGACGGGTACATAAGCCCTGACTCGGGCTAAAAACAGGCAGTAGATCGTATAGTATTAATTTACCAGTGCTCAAGAGAAGTCCCTCACCCAGCCAGGGTCGCACCCAGTTGTAGTCCTTTCCTTTTGAAATGTTTGTTTTGGAGTTGAGTAATTTCTGAAATTTTAAAAATTTAACAATTCCAATTTTTAACTATTTATAAGGGAAATAGAACGTAAAACTATTGAAAATACAGGTTTTGGCATTACCTTTGCATCTTTAGCCTCTAAAATCAGCAAAACCGAGCCGAACGGTGACCACAGCTTGACCACGGAAGACAACTCGCTCCACGAACTCATAATCCGCAATAGTTCTAGGAATATTTAATAAACATATTTTTCCCAGGTAAGGCCTTATGTATTCGCCATGTATATCCGTCTAAGGCAAGAATAAGCAAACCGAAATCTACTGCCACAGTTGAAATTCCCAGTGCATTTCATTACGGCCAAGAAAATAATTTTCATGGGGGGACCTTTGTAGGTAACACTACAAGATTTTTATGTTTAATGACATGCATTTTGTATGATTCAGTAAAATTTGATGCAAAACAATCGGGTAGATCGGTTCGATGACGATAAGGCCTAACTCGGACTAAATAATGCATACAATTACTCCTCCACACTAACTCTTTCTTACCAGTTCTCGGGCATTTAAGAAAAAATGGTATAATTCCTAAAACTGGGACGTGTTGTTCCACCATGGGAAACTTGCCCAGTAAACGATTCGTTCGTGATTTATGGAAAAGTAGGAAATAGATAAGAGCTCCTGTTACTACTGCCCAAATCCATGCTTGGCCAAGCATCTTGCAATTTTTTTAAAAAAGTTTTGATTTTCAGAATTACAGCGGTGTTCGAGACCCAAAATAAAACTGGGTACCTCTGAAAGTTTGACATCTATTTATTGACTTGATGAACCAAGCCATCCCGTCATCCATAGTCCATAGTTCAAGATAATAATATCATAATTCCAAGATAGCTGACATTTAGTACTAATTACAATGCATTTGTATGCACTTTGTTCTAGCCAAAGTTTGTTTTCACATCGATTTTGTATCAGTTTTCCTTAAAATTTACCTTAATTTTGTGACACAATTTGTGTCTCCAGTTTTCCTTAGTTTTGAGACGATGCAATTAAGTGCAATTACATAACTTCCTGGTTAGGGTAGGGCAAAGTTTGGGCAAAACTGCAGACTAAAAATAGGGGTAGATTTATGTATGTAATGCGTTGAGAAAGTTCATGTGGGTCGATGCGAGTAGTTAATCACATAATCATAAATAATAAACGTCCGTCTCAAATGAACATAAAAAAGTGGCGTCATACAGTAAAATGTAAAAGATACTATATGAAAATTATGTAATTTTTGACCTTTGACCTCGTCCTCAAGGTCATGGGTTGGTCAGAAGTCGAAATATTGACGGCGTTGATTTCTTCGTGAAATTCTTTCAAAATGAGACCCCGCATGAAAATTATTTGCTTTTGACCTTTGACCTCGTCCTCACGGTCATGGATTGGTCAGAGGTAGAAAAAATTAGTTGAAAATATTGGCGTTGATTTCATTGTGAAATTGTTTTTAGAATGACACCCCATATAAAAATTAAGGTTAAATTTAATTTTGGACCAGACTCCTCGCGCTGTGGGAGGTGGTCCGATTTATCCCATTTTTGAACTCGATAGAGAACTAAAAATTACAAGTGCAATGGCGAAAACGGCGTTTGATTAGGCTCAGGCGTTCTTGAGATATCCTGCCCACAGATGGACGGACGGACAAAACTGTCACAGAAAAGAGTCGGTGAAAAACATGACGCACTCAATAACCTTTCATTGAGAAGGAAGGAGCAAAAAATATTGGAGTTATGGACAGGAATTTGAGACGACATGAAGGCTATAAAATTGGTAAGATTTTTTTATCTTTTTCATACCAATTTCGTACGTAGGGTGATCAGGCAGAAATTTAGAAGGGTCATGAGGGTCTCAATGAAGGCTTCACACAGGATTTTTTTTTAAATTCTGCGACCAACTTACCGTTAGTACTTGGCGAAGATAAGCCCTAATCCTAAAATTTTGAGACATAACATTTCAAAATTTCAAAAACAAAACGTACCAATTAACAAGATGGTTTATTAATTCTTATCCCCAAATTCTTCAAATATTTCTTTATTAACATTTGAATTAACTAGTTTGCATAAAATACAAAAATAATTATTTTAAACAAAAACAACAAGACCCTACATTAAGAAACAATGAAAACAATGAAATGTTCCCATTTTAACAACAAATTGCGTAACAAGTTTAGTTTTTAAAGGCAGTCGTCATTCATACTCGTAAAAAAATGTGCCTATGATTTTGTAGTTGTATTTACAACGTTTACATAAAAATTAGTAGTTAAATTTCATAAGCCGACGAGAATTAGTGGTGGGATTGGGCCCGTTCGGCGTGAAAACCGTGTTTTGGGTGTGCCTCGTAATTGATGACTTGAAGTTTTCCGTGCTTATCGTAAAATCCGTACTTTCCTAAATAATCAATTAAATATTTAAATACAGGATTTGCAAATGGGAAATTTCTGAAAAACTTTACCTTTCACGTAACCCTTGCCATCCTTCTCTTCGAAACGAAATAGTCGGTTGTACCTATGAATTAAAATAAAAATACCAATTTTTCAGTTTCAATTTCACATTTTAGAAAATGAAACGAAAATTTGTAACAAATTCTGAAGTTTAAATATTCACCAAAAACTCTATCGTTTTACTTTCAAGTGGCGAAAACCCACATGAAAATGAGACAAATTGACAAATGGCTCAACTCTCAACGAGATTAAAAGTTACTTTATGTCAGGTATCATGATGCATGCAAATATAAATAATTAAGAATTGCAGACAGACGTTCCACCCTAATTTGCAATAGTGCAAAAAAATAAGTCTTGTCAAGTCATCATCACGTGTATCTTAACAATTTTAAAAAACTAGATATAAAATGTGCTAAGAAGACGGTTTGCAAATATTTTTCCGACCCCACGTTTTGACCTTGCACCAATTTTTTATTAATTAACAAACACATCTTTTAATTAATGGCGTCCAAGTATACACATTTCTTCTAAAAAGAAAATTAATAAATGCGCACGAAAGTGAGAAAGTGCGCATTTTTTGAAAAAATAAAAGTTTTCATTTTTAGTGCCACTGATGCGTGAAAAATGTGGATGGATCGTTAAACAAAGCAGGATGATGATGATACATAGATCAAGATGATGATGTGGTCAGTTAATTTTTTCTTCTGATAAAAAACAATCACTTTCGATCTTTGTTTTCAAATTTGTTGTGGATGCAATAATTTTTGTGAATAAGTCAAAGTTTTTGTAAGCACGTACCCTTTTCCGGTGTCGTAGCCAAATCTGTACGAGTGGGGTCCTTTGTGTCCACCGACATGGTACAGGATTCGATCTCCGTTATGGCTCAGACCTTCGTGACCCCCGCCGTGCTCGTGACCGCCGGACGCAGCCTGCCAAATTATTTGGGTGTTACGATTACATATACGAAATTACTCAGGAGAGCTGATCAAATACTTTGTAAAAATACAATATTTTGAGCCCGTCCTATCCGGAGTTTGCATTTCTAGGGCTGTCACACCCACAAAAAGACGAAATATGCATGGAGAAGACAGCAGTCGTACGAAAACAGAGGTTTTGCGAAAAAATTAACTTTTTATCGCTGTCAAAATACATTATTTTCACGATTTTTACTAAATATTTTGACATCGATAAAAAGTTGACTTCTTCACAAAACCTGTATTTTTGCAAGACTTGTTTTCTCCGCACATAGATTCTTTTTTTGTGGGTGTAACAGCCCCGGAAATCAAAATCCTGGGAAGAACGGAACTCAAAATACTGTATTTTAATAAAGTATTTTCCCGACCCCTTTCAAATTAGGGGAAATTAATTCTCTTTCTTACGGTGTCAGGTTCGAAAGGGGCTGAAACTGGGTTGAGCGAGGACGCTTGAAAGTTTGGATCTTTTTGGGACACAAGGGGAACTATTCTCTGCCCAACGGCCGGTTCAACCATTTGACTTTGTGGAGGTGGTCCCGAAATTTTGGCGGAGTACCGTTTTCTCTGTCTCCTCGGGATTTTAACACGTGGTTGTTGGACCTCGAGTGAGGAGGAGGCCGACATCATCATCGGTTTGCCATACTGCACACTGTCTGTCGAGGCTTGTTGATGATATCCACCTCCACCGAGAGGAGAGACTGGTCGTGGTCGTGGGTAAGAAGATCCTGAACCAAATTGTCGTCCCCCTCCGAAAGATGATGGCGATGAGGGACGTCTTGGCTTGTAGGAGGGCGTACTGCTTTGACCATCGTCACCACCACCGAATGGTCCACTTCCTGGGCTGTTCTGTCCATTCCATGGCCCATTTGAGGGTCCACCACCACTGCGGAAGGGTGGAGGTCCACTGGAATAACTGCCACTTCCAAATCCTCCTTGTCCTCCTTGGTCGTCGTCTTCAATTTGTGCAGGATATTTGTTCACATCGTTTGACGAAATGATTTGAGGATTCCTCGTTCCACGTGGAGCTTCTTGGTATTGTTCCGGATATTCGGAGCCTCCTGGAGACGAAGCGAAGAATTGGGTTGGTCCGTCATCTTGCCCTTGTGGTGGGGGTCCTCCTCCTCCTTGTCGGAATCCGGACGAAGGAGAGCCTTCGAAGGATGGTCGAGACGGTTGATAAGCTGGAGGACCACTGGACGATGATTCGTCATCGCTTGGTCCGAAGGGACCGAAGGAGGGTGGTGCGCTACTTCCGCCGCCACGTGGTGGTCCTCGTGGTCCACCACGTGGAGGGGGAGGAGAGTCTTCGTCATCATTACTTCCGGGGAAAGATCCGAAACCGGAGAATCCTGGTCCTTGTGGGCCATCTTCGCCGCGTGGGGGTCCGCTATCGTCATCGGAAGAGCTGGAGAATGGAGGATAAGAAGGACGACGACCACCGGGACCACCGCCTCGATAAGGTGACGAGGAGGGTGGGCCTTGCGGCGAAGAAGAGAATGGGGACGGTCCACCAGGACCAGGTCGGCCATACGGAGAACTGGAAGGAGGACCATCGTCGTCATAGGAGCTGGGACCGCTTGGTGGTCCACCGCTCTCGCCGTCGTCTTGATATTTGTAACCTGAGTCAGAACCACCACCACCACTCGAGCTTGGAGGTCCTTGGGGATGGGGATGATGATCTCGGTGTGAAGAGGACGAAGGAGGACCACCACTGCTACCGCCAAATGGTGACGATCCGTAGGAGGATGAAGGTCTCCCACCGAACGAGGATGACGATGATGGCGGTCCACCGCCAAAACTTGGTCGATATCCGGACCCTACAAAAATCCATAGTAAATTCAAACAGGTAACGAACAATTCATAAAATCCCAAGGTAAATGTAAAATTATGACTGTGACGAAAAATTCATGCCGTATTTCTTACCTGGTTGTTGTCTTACTGGACGACTCGCGCCAGAAATCGGTCTTCCAGGTCGGCCCCCAAATTGACCTCCTGGTCGACCCCCCGAAGAATAAGGGGCACCTGACGAAGGAGAATATGGACGTGGTCCACCACCACCACCGCCATAGTCACTATTTGGCGATGGGGGCCTTCCAAACCCTAAATTCGAGTTGAAGGGATCATCATCCTCCGGACCACCTTGGGGCCCTGGACCTCCTGGCCCTCCAAAATGTTTATTGACATGACTAGCACTGGGATCTTTGGGTGAAGAGAGTGGTTTACTGTACGGACTGGGGGACGATCCGGCCCCTTGGGGCTGGTGTTTCTTCCCCAGCATGGATCTGAACGGGGCCAGAAAATCTGGCAGAGCAGTCGAAGGGCTGATAAGACATGCTGCCACCATCTGGCCCAAAAATCAAAATTTTATCCTCAAAATTTCACTTTTTCCATGTAAAGTTTCCAATAACTTTCTCCTTCTGAAAAATTTTCATAAACTTCACCCACTCGACGTAACTTACCAAAATGGCTAAGGAACCTTTCGATATCTTCATTTTTCAGCCGTGGTGGTGGTCACTCTGAAGATGTTGGCCACTCGAGAGTTTCAATCCAACTGAGACCCTTGGACTTTGTTTGAGCGAATAAATGATGTGTTTTCGAATAAGAAAGTTAATTCCTCCTCAAAGCAAAGTCTTCCTCCTCCTTCTTCTCGTGGACGAAATGAAATTGAAGCAAAACCAAGATTTTTTAGCGTTTGAAATTTACAATGCCTTGTTGGCTGCATCCTTGGGTGAGCAATCAGAGGTGTGTCGATGCAATTCATTCATAATCATCAAGTATGATACCAACCACTACTGCACTACTGACTCTGACGCTGCATTGTTGTGGTTCTCTGCACTGCATATAAATCTCCTGCCTGCAATTTCCACCCACGAGTTTACTACTAATCTGTCTATATGAATCTGCTTTTTAAACCTTTTCAACCGCAGAATGGCATGCACCGACATGTCAGTTGGTTAAGGCACCTATGTATAAGGGGATGTTCAATAATTATGGCAAAAATCGAGATTTTCTAGACCCCCTTACCCCCTTCCCCCTCTAAAATGTGTCACATGCACGATATCATTGGAGCCTTGGACCCCTTACGAGTTACAAAATTTATGAACGTCCCCCGTAGTAAGTGAAGTCATAAAACTGCAATTTCAACCCTTGATGCACACGCGGACTCGAAAACTGTAATAATTTGCGAGGTGTAATTGAAAACAAAATTATTTTTTGCACATATTTAATACATACGTTCATCATTTCGAGTTTTTATAAAAAAATTGCGTAAACCATAATAATATGCGACATTTATTGCAATTTTTCGTACTCTCATGTTTTCAGAAAAAAAGATGACGATGCGTCGTATTACTAGATATTTTTGTACATCGTCCGACGGAGGCAATCATCGCCCACATTTAACCAAAGTTAACGAACCGTTTACATCCGTAAAGCCAATACTAAATAATAAACTGCATACGCACGCACGGTGTACTGTAGGTACACGAAATTTATTTGTACGAATCATTTACAAGTAAATATGTTACTGTGTATTGTATAGTAAATCGATGCGAATACGATTAAAATAAAACCAAAACATGTTCTTCTTTTCGACCAAATTGATAATGAAGAAAGTCGACAAAGGATTCCTATTTTCCAACAATTTCAAATTTTGGCTTATGAAACTGGTTACACCGTTTCGTTCTACAACAAGGTTAAATTTCGTGTAGTAATTAAAATTGAAAGTACTTAATTAAAAACTTATATAAAATTAATTATATCCCAGGTACATAGAATAACCTTATTTTCATCTTAAGAGTGGGTATGCCACGTTACGTTACATACAATTTTTCTTTAACAAATTCATCCCAATTTCAAATTCGCCCTACTAAATTCAAACTCATCTCTAACTCAAAATCAAAACCAAAATTATATACAATTTTTGCAAGGCGTGGTTGGTGTTTATTCATAAATAAAGTTCGGAAAAAAAATCGAGCAAAAACTTAGCAAAGACAATAAATCAATTTTTGCGAGAAACTTTTACGTATTCTGTTTACGCACGAATAACGTGTAAACGCCGAATTGAAAAGTATTCTCAATTCCACAATGGTCATTGATTCTTCATAAAAGCAAAATAATTCAGATTTCAGTATACAAATACATATATTAAATTGCTCACTTTTGCAAAAATAAAAATGTAGCCTCCTCCACATATTATTTTTACATAAGTAAGTATTAAGATTTGTCTGTGGTATAATTATTTACTTTTATTTGGATTTTTCAAAAAAAACGAAAGTAATTCAGTAAATTATTATTTGTTGGCATTGTCGATATTTTACCATTATTCGAGAGACTTTCCATCTTTACAAATCCAAATCGACGCTACCGATCTAGATTTGTGGGCATGCGTTAATTGATGAAAATGAAATTAAAAGTTTAACTCGAATGACTTCTTCACTTAAACGCTGTACAGATTCAGATTTTTGAGCCAGATAAATAAATCTCAAATATTTCAAGCACTGCACTGTAACATGAAATTAAAGTCAGTCATCAGTAGCTAAAAATCCTTAATGATACCATTTCATCCACCCACACTTATTTTTTCCTTAATGATTTTAATGATTAGTTTGATTTAATGGGGTGAAATATTATTGATAAGCTTTTTATTTTATTGTGTAACAGATCCGTCTGCGTTGTATTGTTATCCAATATTTTTTAAGGGCGATTAATTTATATGCACATTTTTTTTATATCTAATCGATCCGTAGCGAAAGAAAAATATTTATGAAATATGAAAGTTTCCTAATGGAGGGGTCCTTAAATCGCATCCGGTTTCTAATTTAGGAACGGTTAGGTCGAAGCGTTAATCAGAATTTGATCATGTTTTGCTTCCTATGAATTTTTACGTGTCGAAGAACTTGTGACATTTACATACACAGTTTTTTATAAATTGTGTATTGATTTTTACAGGATTTTTTTTCTGCTCAATTTCATGGTTCATGGTTAAACTAAAATGCCACGATGTTAACGCAGACAGATTGAGCAGCATGACTTTTGCTATTCTATTATATGACTTATCTACTTATTAATGGCAGGGTAGAAGATCCATTAAATCCTCACGTATATAATCCTCCTGATGCCAATTTGCGTTGCAACCTTACATAAAATCAGAGTCGATCATGAGTCAATTCAAATTCTGTTAAAAACATGGCAAACGAAACCACCAAAAAGTAAAAACTTTCTCTAAAAAAAAGAACGTGATTGAACCCTTGTCAAATCTTGAATGATGATTTTTTTTCTGTGTGTAAATCACGTACTACTTCCGACTTCCTCACGTTATGCAAATATGTATGATGAAGAAGATAGTAATTTTGCAATACGAGATTTTTTGACAAGGAGGAAATCACTTTATTACAAAGTCATTCATAATTCTATGTATTGAAAATTAAATAAGCGGTTAATGAGAGCAGGAAAGATCTGCTTTTATGTGTAACAAATGCATAATTCTAAAAGTGCAAAAAATCTTTCGCTCTCATTTTGTCCTAACTTTTCTTCTGCTGCTGCTCACGTGTCCAGTTCTACTACGTCCGACTTCCTCACATTATGCAAATATGAATCTACATATGTATAGTGGTGAAGAAGACGCCACGTTATGCAAATTCGTATGGTGATGAACCATAATAATTTTGAAATGCGAGATTTTTAAGGAAATAACTTTATTACAAAATCACTCATAATTCTATTCAAAATTAAATAAGCGGTTAATGAGAACAGGAAAGATTTACTTTAGTGTATAAAAAACGCATAATTCTAAAAATCCTTCGCTCTTATTTTGCCCTAACTTTGCTGCTGCTGACTCGTCGTATTATTGCTGTTGCTATCTTCTTGGGTGAGGTTTAGACTACTGAGGAGCCGATGCAACTGACTGATTTGTCTTTGAAGGGCTTGTTCCCTTAATTCGTTAATGTTATTGTCCGAGGGGACGTCTCGTATCGAGGATGACGTTCTGCTCTCTCGTTCAGGCGATGATTCTGCAAGCAGGTCACGTGGTGGAGGTGGCGGTGGCGGCGTTGGGGGTGGAGATCGTTGGTCGTTGTTGTTTCTGGGACGATCATCATCGTCGACGACACGATCACGGTCACGGTCGCGATCTCGGGAAGAGTAACTTGCAGAATTTCCACTGCGGAGACCTTCCGATTGTTGAGACCGGTCTCGATCGCCCCCTCTGCTTCGGGTGGAGGTTTTCCTTTCGCGTTCCTCGTCCTCGTAGAAGGATGCGGAAATTCGGTTCCTTCTGTCGTCTCGTTCCCTCTCGCGGTCACGGTAGGACGAGAAGGCAGCAATTATCTGCAGAAATTATAGAAATTATAACATTTGCATAATTTTCCGAGTAAAAATTCCCTGTGGAAATTTGACCAGAAATTTCCGGCCCAATTTTCTGCAGAATAAAATTCAAAGCGATTTGTGCAGAATGAGAATTATGCACCTACGTTTCTGTAGAATAAAACCGATACAAAATTCTGCAAGATTATATGAAAAAAATTGCAGAATGCAGTATGCATCTAACTTGTGTCAATTACTGCAGAATTCGAAACAGGGTTATACCTATATTTGCATAATCATTAAATATAAGAGTTATGCAGAAGCAAAAAAGTGGTAGAAAATATGCTCACGTCTTGGATTGATGACGCCGCCGGAGTCGTGGTGGATGGCGTTGTCGTCGTCGGCGTCGTCGTCGTAGGTGTGGTTGTGGTACGCGTAGTGGTGCTAGATCTGGACAGACCAATAATTTGCATTTTTCCCAGCTTATTTACATTTTTAAGTAATAAATTACCCCGTGGTTGTAGTAGTTCTCCTCGTTGTTGAACTCCTATCCCTACTATTTCGGTTCCTGTTCCTACCACAATTCCTCCTCCCACTTCGACTCCCGTCTCGATCTCGGCACCGCCGGCTGTCTCGTTTCTCATCCTCGTCAGAATTTTCTTCCTGGCTGTCTCTAAAAAAGTACAATTTACATAAGTCTCTGATGAGTATTAAATTAATAATTAATGCAAAATTTAGCTCTACTTTGAACTAGAGTCGTTATTATCATCGTCCTCCTCAGAACGGTCGCGATCCTCGTCGGAGTCGTCGTCATCCTTATTCTTTCCGCCTTTCCGTCTATTTCCATTTCGCCGATTGCTTTTCGGCGTTACGGGGACCAACTCGAAAACGGGAGCTTTGCTTGTCTGCGTTGGATGGGCGTAGACGACGGGGCGCGAGTGTGGATGGCTGTGAGGGGGATGGGCTTGACCATTCGGGTAAAAGTTGAGGGTGACTCCGTCCCCGTGTGGCGGATGTACGTGCGGAGAGGAGACTTGACCTGGATAAGCGAGCTGACCATGATTCGGGAAAGCTGGGCGATAAGTTGGATATCTGAAAATTTGCAATATTTTTAGCATGGAGTTTTTTCATATGAAAACAAACTTGTGCGAATTTCATACTCTGGAAGACTCGGGACGGCAAACAATCTCCTTATCGTGATGGGATGGTCGTCCGAAACGTATTCATTCCTGGGGATGGAGGCCACCAGACAGCCAGTTGTCATCGGGTAGGGCGATGGCCATTGTCGATCGTCTGATTGATAAGGCACCATGAATCCCTCAGGCGCTAGCACGTTGACCTCAATCTGTCTCACGATCATGGGTTTGTGCAGAGGTATTTCGACGGCGGGGATGTGATACCCGTCAGTGAGGCCGTAAAACTGGGGGTATTTTATATTCAGGCGGAGCCCGTGGGGGTCGATGGATCGCTGTAATGATATAGGTTGAACGTGTTGTATGAATTTTTCTATGGGATTTCATGGGATTTTGTGGGATGCTTTTTTTTTGTGAGACGTGCAGTTATTTACCTTTGCCCGGTGTAAATGGTTGTCGAAATTGTTGGGGTTGACGAGGAGCGACTCTTCCGGGACGATGTAGAGTGGAACCGTCTTCTTTCCGGGCATCGGTTCGATCGGTTTCATCAACGCCACTGCGAAATTCCATTATTATAAAAAGGGTCATTTGCATACAGTACTAAACATATGTATTAATATATTCTTACCTTGGTAAATTGTGGGTGCGACAGGGTACGAAGCAGGGAACCTCTGAAGAAATTGATGGTAGAAAATTTTAGTTTTCGAAATTTCGGTTTTTGTAAATTTTAATTATTAAAAAAATGTCTCATTACATCTTGTTTGTAGATGACAGGAATATCAAACGGGTTCAAGTTATAGCCTCCGCCTCCTCCAACGCCAAGGCCACCACCCGTGTCGCCATAATCCGCATAAAACTGTCCTCCCACGTTCGACACGGATAACAAAGTAGTTATCAAGAGGGTGGCACCCATCTAAAAATAATAATTAATATTTTACATATTCAATTAAAATCTCAGCCTCAATTTCATGCAAACAAAAAATCCATTCGTCATTTCTGACAAGTTCATAACATGAATTTTTCTACATTTCCGTAATTTATTATTATTCTAAGTAAAACACTTCTCATAATAAGTCGAATTGTTCAAGGTTATCCATTTCATTTCATACTTATCAAGGTGCATGTAGACCTAAACATCATAATAACTCATAATACTTGTCTTATACCACCGCTTACATATTTACATACTTGTGGTAAACTCAATTAACATAATTATCCAACACTTGAGACAAGAAATTATTGAGTTAATACTGCTGTTAACTTAATTATTTGCATTAACGCGAATTAAATAGTTGAGTCGCATCACTGAAAATCCATCAAAGTAGAGTAAGTCAGAAAAGTGGTGGTGAGAAATGGAAACGATTTTCTCCCATGATAAGCCACACTTGGCAAGTAAGTTTTTGAGGTTACGATTTTAAGTTCCCTTTCATTTCAAGGTAACTCATTTACTTATTAAACTCAGGGATCAAGCCAATCGTTCCTATTATTTGCTTATTATTGAAGAACAACATTAAGTTAAAATTAAATGTTAATCCATTCTCATTGTTCTCTGATCGCTTCTCTTTTCACATGCGTTTCTTTAATGATGAATGATTTAACCAAGGAATAATAATAAACGTTTGATGGTCTTTTGTCGGTATTAGTATTGGCTTTTGTGGTATTTTACATTTTGTGAGTTAACTATTTGTGTAAATAAATGAGTTAAAATTTGAGAAACAGTGAAATGAATTTGTGTAAATGATGAGGAACAGATTCTACAAATTTTAAAAATTTTGGACCTTTTATAAATGCGATGAATTTAGATTAATCTAGAAATTTTCGAAATTTTGGATATGCTGAATTTGGATTAATAAATATGCAAATTTCTTACCCGTGAAGGATTCCGAAATTGCATTATGCCTTTTTGAAGTAAAAAACCTACACTTTATTTTTCAAATATTGCAATTCACTCCACTTTGACGCCGTTTTTCACAATAAATATTTTCCGATATGAACTAATTAAATGACGCTAAGGGACACTTATCGAAAATGGCCCTCAAAAGCACTGCTGCTGAACAATTGAAGAGTTGCCTTGCAGAGTTCGGAAGATGGACTGAAGGGTGCAAGCAAAAGGCGTGGAAGGTGTGGAAATGGGACCACCTTCACTTCTTCTGAAGACGACTCTTTCTCGATCAAATTCTCAAGATATCCTTGTCGAAGTCCCACAATATCCATCCAGCTCTGCTGCATCGTGCTCATCATCGACAGGTCAGGTATTCTATAAAATAAAGGAGAATTTTCACACGAATTATTATTATTCGCGAAAAATGCATAGTCTGACAATAAGAGATACATAATATTTCTGCATTTTCTGCATAACTGTGTATGGACCTCCCTGCTGTAATTTTTTGCACTGCTTACTTAAATTGTGATGGTCTCTCATAATTGATTGCTTGTACACGTCTCACGTTAACATATCGTCGCACATTTACATCCATCAAATGCCAATATTTCATGATTTATGTGTGCACTTCATTACTATGAAATGAAAACTATGACATTTTAATCAGAGTTGTGCTTATGCCCATGCCCAGGGCATCTAGGCATTTATAAGGCATCCCCTATTTGCCCACAATTTAAGTAAATAAAATCAACGTCATAATTCCCAGGGTATTAAGTACCATGCAAAAAATGTTGCGGGTTTATTTTCATGTATTACGTTACGTTATGAAATATAAATATATGACATTTTAAGCAGGGTTGTGCTTATGCCCATGTCCAGGGAATTTCAGTATTTATAAGGCATTCCCTATCTGACCACAATTTAAATTAGTGTCCCCATAACTTAAGACCATAAGGCCAACGTTACTTACTACCATGCAAAAAATGTTGCCGATATATTTGCACGCCTTGCCAATTGTATGTACATACAACTTTAATTGATACATTTATGAATGATTCCGTTATTGAAAACATGTCAATTTCACCGAGAGCTTGACCAGCAGTGTGTGTCAAGTTTCTTGTTTTCCAAACAAGTGAATACGGTCACAATGCCACAATCGCCGCCATCACCACCACCACCGCCCACACATTACTATTGAAAGAATGGGTCAATTGTTGACAATTATATAAAGTCAATAAATCCAGAACAATCATTTCCTAGCAAGTGAATAAACTGGGTATGCAAAATGCCCTACCGAACAATGTGTCTAATCATAAATTAAAATAAAACATCCTGCCCTCCAACAACACCCTTCTTCGCTCTCCACGTATTGCAGGGCGTTTTATCATGTGTATTTAGGTTGCTAATTGATGTTGAATTGTTGCACTCGAGTTATTATAAAGTTCAAAATGGGGTCAGTCCAACTAGGCTCCATACTTCTCTGCATTCTCGTTTTACAGGTAAATCCACGCCACTCCGAATTTTCGGAAACTTAATTAGTGCGAAATATTTTTTTTATAGGAAGTTACTCGGGCGGAGGATTTGGACCTTCGGGACAAGAGGAAAGGTACGCTGTTTGGAAATTAATTGATGGGATAGTTCAATATGGGATTCTTTACAGCGTCACCTGGTTGCAAGGAGGGTTTTCACCTCCAGAGTGGAAAGACTTCCCGGGTCTCAATCACTTCGGGGGATGTCAAACCAGGCAAAATTTGCGAATGGGTCATCTTCGTATGTGTTTAAAATTCATTCCAAAATCATGTTCTACAAGTGGCCGTTGGGACAGAGGGACAATGTCCTCGTGGTTATTCGATGTACCCATCATCTGCCCATGTTATACAAACCCCTCCTTCCCCTATCCTACAATGTTAATGTCCCCCCGATGTCCCCACGGCCACTGTGTTAAATAAGTGAGTGAGCTCATCTTTTTTTCCAGGGTGACACCGACTGCCAACCGGAACTGACATGTTCTGGGATCAACTTGAAAAAGAGTGAGGATTGCGGGGATGAATATCTCCTCGTGTCGGACGGTGTCGGCGGAGAGTTGAAGGTTTGTGGCAAGGTGAGCTTCGATAAGCCCTTGTTGGCCAGTGGCAAGGCACGCGATCTCTTCGTCCGCTATCAAGACGGAGACTTTGGATCCGCACCGTTCAAATGTGAAGCGAAATGCTCGGCGGATCAGGGTAGGAAATTGCATAAATATTTTGCATAAATATTTATTTATGCGATTTTTTTTGCAATATAGTTGGGCTCAATCTTCCCATCAGTTTTGAGAGGAAGGAGCTTTCCCAGTGTGGTATGTGGATTATCGATTTTACTATTTTTGGGGGGGATTGTAGCAATTAATTAAATTTCTGAAAAGTTTGTGGCCTCCAAAATCGAGACGATCGCATCGTTGGGGGAGAAGACGCCAAAATGAATGAATTTCCGTGGCAGGCTGCCATCGTGTATGCGGGAACGAGACAGCCCAAATGTGGGGCTTCCGTTCTTAATGATCGCTACATTTTGACCGCGGTATTGACAAATTTTATGATGGGAGGAAATTTTAAACTGAATTTGGCGATTTTTTTGCAGACGCATTGTTTCTGGTTTGACGGGATGCAAGGTAACAATATTATTTTAAGGAGCGTGTGTTGGCTGGATATTTGTCCTTATCAAGTGATAAGCTCAGATTTTAAATGCGTATTCTTGCAGCCGACGAAGTTGAAGTCCTCATCCACGCTTATATCTTGGACATGACGAAAAAGGATATTGCAAAAGATGTCAAATTGGGGTAATGCAAGATAAGACTGTAAAATTAGCTCTACATATTTCTTACAATTTCGTTATTTAGTGAGATGGGCTCAATCCGAGGGTCCGGGTATAACTTAAAGTTGAAGACGGACGAAGAAGAAAAAACGCAGCGGTACCGCGTCGCGGAAATTATTATGCACCCGCTCTTCACCGAACAGTAAGCACAATTTCCTCATAAATTATCATATTTTCTTCACTTTTATCTCAATTCAGGTACGATTACGACTTTGCTCTGCTCCGCCTTGAAAAGAAGATCGATCTGACAGCCTCCGATTCTCCGACCCCGATCTGCCTCCCGCCCCCAAATCTGCCCGACGCCACGTTCGAGGACACCAATCCTTGGGTCGTTGGATGGGGAATGCCCGACGAGAATGCCGGCGGAACGACGCGTGTCCTCCAAAAGTTGTCCGTCCCCATCCTCCCGTTAAAAAGGTGTCAAAAATGGCTCCCCGGATTGGTCACGCAACGCATGATTTGCGCCGGATTTGAGGAAGGCAAAAAGGACGCGTGCACTGTATGATGCATGCAATTATTTTTTCCTATTTTGTGTACAGTTTCAAGATTTTACGCCCTTTTTTAGGGCGACAGCGGCGGCCCCCTCATCCTTAAGCAGTCAAACAAGCAATGGTGGCAGATCGGAATTGTCAGTTGGGGTGAAGGGTGTGCCGGATATCACAAGCCGGGGCTCTACTCTCGGGTTACAGGTAAAAACGCCATTTTTCCCTAATAAAGCAACATTTTGTTTCCTGCCGGTTTGCTATATTTCTTGCTCTGCAAAGCAAGAAACGCAAGAAAAGCAAGTTGCAAGAAAGTTCAAGAAAGTGCAAAAATTCGCCATCTAGCCACGCGCCGTATGAAGTATAGCGCCGGGGTGTAGTTTCTTGCGCTTTGCATTTCTTGCAGGTCAAAATACCTGCAAAAAACATTTTTTGCAGCTATTTCTTGCAAGTGGTCACTTTCACCCGAAACACTTGATAAATCCATCACTTACATAATCTTACTTTTGACCCCACAGAAATGCACCAGTGGCTCTCGTACCAAGCCAATAAACATGACGCAAAGTGGTGTCGGGACAAAAAATAATTCAGGACAAAAATTTATTTTTATCAAAAATTTGTACTTGTTTCAGGGAACATACTACAAAAAAACAAAAATATATTGTTTTCATCTTCCAAATTGTATTATTATGCAGAAAACGTCATTAAATTACATAAAAACGTGTCAGAATTGAATGGAAGGGAGTAAAGTACTTAACAGGAAATTATATACTACTCTAAAAAGAAAGAATTACATGAATAATTGCCTGAAAAATATGTGCCTTGAAATTGCGAGGCTACACGACGCATGAAATGAATCACTCACTCATTCATTAACGGTCTGCAGTTAAAAAAATTATTTAAGCATCACAATGGACGTTGCTACTATTATTCCTGCGTTTCATTCACGTATGTACTAAAAAATACTACAGTCCTTCAATTTGGACTATTTTATTAAGTTCGTGTCATTCATTATACATACGTATTCCGAACTTTGTGTAACGTAAAACTATCCAGTTTAAGTTTTTCCATTTCTTATGAAAATGGTGACACACGTCTCGTTAATTTATCGATGTGACGATTACATATTTATATGATCGATAAGACGACGAATTAGAAAGGATCTCTCATACCCCGATAAAAATTGGAATGTTAAAAGGCAAATAAAAATAAATGATTGTGATGATGATTCCCTTAATTATACAACTCAATGAAATTAACTACATTGTGGTGTCTGTGGGAATTGCAGTGCAAGTGGAAGGCAGCAATAATAAATATATACATGTATGTATGTACATACGAGAAGATATGTACATAATTGTCAAGACTCACGAAAGATAAGATCACGCCTTATCACTCAACCTATCGCCGTAATGTATAGCATAAGATTATAGTGCATATTTTAATATAGCTCCTAAAGGTTTTAGGTCATCTCAGTTTGTTATCATTATCAATGATTTTAATTAATTAATTCCCATTAATAAACCTCTCCTCAATCCTCATGGGACAAATCATGGGACAAATCATCGTCGTCAGTCGTGCCTTTAATTTTAGATCTATCCACGTCCACGTTCCTATTTATTAACGGTTAACAAATTTGTGCGGCTCGTTTTCTCGTGGGCAAAAATTTTATTTATGAGTGTGACGCCGTTCGTAGGCGCAGGTGTTAACGTAGGATTAGGTGACTCATCGTCACAGGTCTAAAAATCTTAACATTTTTACACATTTCTCCGTTCTGGGAATTTATTTTTAAATTCTATCAGATCCATTTGTAGACCAGATCAGTACCAATTTATTAAAAATATGTACTCTAGATTTTGACAAGTTTTGAAGGAGGAGACCCAAAAAGAGTGAACGCCTTCAGAAAAATTGGGTCTCCTCCTTCAAAACTTGTCAAAATCTAGAGTACATATTTTTAATAAATTGGTACTGATCTGGTCTACAAATGGATCTGATAGAATTTAAAAATAAATTCCCAGAACGGAGAAATGTGTAAAAATGTTAAGATTTTTAGACCTGTGACGATGAGTCACCTAATCCTACGTTAATGCGTGACAGGATACATATGCACCCAGAAAAGTAATTAAATACTTAGATTTTATTATACATATGCGCTATTGCATCACTGACTAATTAACAATGAGTCGTAAAACAAACAGCATTGACATTCAGAAAGAAAAGCAATGATTTCAGGGAAGATAGGCACATTTTTATGGATGTAATTGAACCCATTTATTTGAAGGTTCGATGAAATTAGTTTAGATAAAATCAATAAAATCGAAAGATATGGATTGATTGATTACGAAAAAGAGATGACAATTAAGAGTTTTTGTATGCGTAAATTACTATTTAGAGCACCAGGCTCGTTAACGGTTTTATTAATTAAAGCAAAAAATTCTCAATAAATGTAACAACTAATGTAACTAAATTATTAGGCAGTACGTTTCATTTAAGGCCCAAAATAAAACTTGAATACCGATTTGTAGGCTCGAATTCTTAACAATAAAATCTTTACAGGTTAGAAACCGACTAATTATTGACTATTTCTGTATTATATCGTTTCAATAGTACATTGCATTACGCATAATGTGTCATTTTCTAATAGAGCTTTAAATGAGAGAGAGATTAGCACCTTGAATAATTTGTTACCAGGCTTAAACAATTTGTTTGTAAGTAGATTACTCAACTTTGGTTTGTATTACATTTTTAAATCCTAACCTCTACTCGATTATCTTCTAGTTTTCTCCCAAGAATCCCAATATTCCTTCCTTTGCATTTCTGACAAGCGTGATATTGTCCTATCAAATGCAAACTGTTCCTCTTCGCCCGTAAAAATGCTGGCTTTTGCATCCTCGGAATTTAATTTGAGGCCTAGATCGTCCATGAGTTTGCGCTGGTCGTCAGAATGAGAAGGGTCTTCGTCGCCATCGTCATTTCGAAATATATGTGTGTGCGCAAATGGTGAAGAAATTACGACCCGTACCTAAAAATAGTTTTCTTTGTTAAAACGACACGACCACACTTTATTTATGCATCTTGGAGTCGTGGGTTCGATTTCTGGTGAAAACTTCGAAACGCGTTTGCCTGGAAAGTAGCGAACGAGAACCCGGAAAAGAAGGCAATACGTAGAAAAAAGGTCCACTATCCTTTTTTAGGGTCCGTTTTTTTACAGGCCGTGGGAATTATGTACGATTTTCTTCCCCCTCCCCCTTTATAAAAAAAAAACAGAAATCAAATCCAAGACTTGGACCTTACTCGGTTATCGTAGAGGGTATCAATCAGCGTGATGAAACGTCGAGCCTGCGACTTTTTCTTCAAATTGAGTTGAGGGATATTTCTAATGAACACGGTATGAAAATATTGACTCATCGCAAGGTAATCGCTAGCACCGAGAGGCTGCAGATACAATTGAACAATTATTGATATAATATCTATATCATTGAATTATTTGTGATATATTGTGCGTACCCGGTCACATAGTTCGTCAAAAGTACAATCCACAACTTGACCACATGTTTTCTCAAATGTCACGTTGCGACCTTTGATCGTCAATATTTTCGGTCTAACGGTGTCGTTCTCTTTGGAGGAGAGGAACTTGAATAAACTATCCATTTCGGCGTCCGCGTCACACTTTTCAGAGCTGAAAGTGAAATATAGGGTATAGTTTATTAATTCAGGAAATATCATTTATCAGTTTATCAGTTTACAATATATTTAATAGTTAAAGTAAGTTAGTGCTTACATAAAATATGCGTGACTCTGTGACCCACCCTTTCTCCTGTAATCAATCCCAGATTCTAGACTGATCACGTCGCAGTGATCTTTCAAAATTTTGATAAATGGCAAAAAGTTGGACCTTTGCAGGCCATTTTTATAGAGATCATCCGGAGGTCGATTACTCGTAGCTACAACCACGACGCCATGGTTGAATAGCTCGGTGAACAATCTTTTAAGGACCATTGCGTCTCCGATGTCTGTTACCTAAAAGAAAATTAGTCAAAATTGCAACTTCCTTGGATATTATATTATCCTGTACATTTGTTCTTCACACCTGAAACTCGTCGAAACAAAGGAGCCAAGTTGTTTCTGCGATTTCCTCTGCAACGGGTGGAATTGGATCGTAAACTTTCGGTTTTGTTCCAGTATCTACATTACTAACCTTCAAAAATGATTCAGGTTATAGTTATTCCGTTCTTTTAATTATCAAGTTCAAAACGTACAGTCGCCTGTTTAACGCGATGAATCCTCGTGTGGACATCGGACATGAAGGAGTGAAAATGTACCCTCAATTTTCTTCTGACAGGGGCCACGTCAAAGAACAAATCCATCAGCATTGTTTTTCCTCCACCAACACTTCCTTTAAATTAACTATTTTTATTAAAATTTAGCTGTGGCAAATCACAAATTTGTAAAAAAAACATACCCCAGATGTAAAGACCACTTGGTATTCCTAAATAAATATTAACCATAATGAACTTGTATTATTTAAAAAGTAATTTAATTAATTAATTAAATTTGAAATTCCATACTTTTCTTCCCACTTTTGTCCACACCTCCTCCTCCTCCCTGAGAACTGCTCCCTCCAAAAATACCCTGGAACATTTTAACCATGGCTGTCCTTTTAGGAGGTGGTTTATACGTGGAAATCTCCCCTTGCAGCTTATCGAACGCCTTGATAACTTCCGCCTGGTATTTGTCATCGTCAATCTGTTTGGATCTGACTCGTTCTGCATATATTTCCGAAGGGAGGCGATACTCCACCCGGGATAAGGATGTCGTCGATAAGCACCGTATCCTTATCAGGTGATGCTTTCCACTTATAACTGATAAGCCTAAACATTTTGGGCAAGTTGTCAAAGTAGAAGAAGATGAATTTAAAATCAAAAGTGAAAACTGTTTTAGTTTTGAGATTGAGCGAAATTGAAGATTCGGATTGGACATCACAATCACACACGCACACACAAATATTTAATTCTTTATCCTAATTTAACCGAATTTTTAAATAGGTATGAAATTTTGAAAGCAAAAACTAAAAATTTGGCAAAAAGAAGTTTAGCACATATTCAATATTATATTCGCAAGTGGACAAATTAAATTCGTATTTCACTCCTTCCAGCCATCCAACTTGCCCCGAGGACGTAATCGTGATTTTCAGTATGATTTTCAGTATCCATAAATTTCAGCTGCATCGACGCCCTCAAATTTCCGAATTTTGAAACTTTTGATGTGTCATTCGTCTTTTGATGTTCGTATTCCTGGATCAAATTAAAATATAATTCTAATTCTTATTTTACAAAGGGTATATTAGCTGTAATTTAATTTTTGAGGGATGGTTGCATTTTGCATATAACTCAAAAATGCCATGCCACATTTATCCTTGCATTTACCCGGAATTCAATTTCCAATTATTTTTTTTATTAAATTCGGTGACGCAAAATGGATAGATTTCCACATATCCCTTCTGAAGTTCAGAACCCGCAGAACCTGAAAAATGTGGTATTTTTCCGGAACTTATTAATTTAAAAATTCTTTATTTCTCAAGCTTTCAGAAAATACTTTTTCCTTTATCAAGTCCATTTGAAAATGTCCAAAACCTATTAAGAAAACATTCAATTCATTAAAATGCATTTCGTAGATCTACTTTTTCTAAACGCTCAATAATTTACAAGGGCATAATTCAATTCATAAGAATGCTGTATAATACTATTCAATCACAATGCGAATTTCGCACGAATATCTGCTGCATTGCTGAATACTAGTGGATAAGATAAGATACGATAAAATCAACGACGGAATAAAACCAACCAATTTACTTATTCAATTCAATTAGGACACAGACTAAAATACCATACTTATAAAAGCTTCTGGAATATAAAGGGTGTTAATAAAGTCCGATCCCATGCATTTTTTGGAGCGTGGTTGTTACAAATTCAGCTGGAACTTTTGAACCAGTGAAGTTATTTATTTCAAATTTTTACCATGGGAGGAACAACTAAACGTGTAAGTCATGAGCATCTTAGAGTTGAGATACAAACATTGCATCAGCAGGGGCTTAAACCTACAGAAATTGTGCAAAAATTGGGCTGCAGCCGCAGAACTGTTTGGAAATGGAAGAATAAAAATTTTGTCCACGACAAAAAGCGACCAGGGCGACCCAGAAAGGTGTCACCTACCACAAAAAGAATGATTAAAAACAGACTTTGCAAGAAAACCGGTAGTTCATTACGTAATTGAGCAAGGGAGTTAAATGACTCAAAACGCTATAAAGAGAAGAAGAAGCAAATTAACTGTGTGACCGTGCAAAAATTTGTGAAAACTACGAAGTGGGGTCACACAGCTTACAAACTAACCAAAAAAACCTCTCATGTCACAAAAATATATCGATGACCGTCTGAAATTTGAAGAACTCCTTCAGAAAAGTGCCCATTTGAGTGAAAAAAGACTTGGTGAAGAATTGCGCAGTCACATCCTTTGGACTGACGAATCTATTATTGAACTATATCCAAAATTGAACCAACAAAATGTTCGTTACAGGACAGAAAACAAATCGGATGTACCATCAAGAGCGATCCCAAAATTCGGGCTTAAAGTTATGGTAGCGGGTGGATTTTGTGCACGTTGCGTGACCCCTCTACATATCATACCAAAAGGCCAATCAGTCAATGCAAAGCATTATATGGAAAAAATATTACCTATCTATTTCGATAGCATGGGGAACAAGGAAATATTTCCGAATGAAAGAAAAATAGTTTTCATGCAGGATGGTGCTATAGCCCATACAGCAAAAGCGAGTTTGAGTCTCATCAAGACGCAAGTTTCAACGGTCTGGAGCAAGGGGGTGTGGGCCGCTAACGGCCCAGATTTGAATCCCCTGAAGAACCAGTGGTCCATACTTAAGGAAAATGTATACAAAGAGCCACAACCCCGGACGAGGGAAGAGCTAGTAAAAAAAAGTTCAAGATGTATGGAATTCGATTTCCAGAGGCACATTGGAAAAATTAGCACAGAGCCTTAAACAAAGAGTTGAGGGCATGGTTAAAGTAAATGGTAACAAGACCAAATACTAAGGTAAATATGTCGAACATTTTTTGTAAGTATCACGGGTAGTTTTTTTTTATACTAGCCTTCACTTTTTTACAGGAAAAATGGGATCGGACTTTATTAACACCCTGTAATATTGACTCAAAATCTTAGCAATTCAGCAAAAGAGGTACCTACTTAAAACCATTTCTTAATTGTCTAAAAAACTATTTTATTTAAAAACTTTATTTAAAATTCCAGAAAATGGAGCGCATTCAAAAGGACTTCGAAGAAATGCAAAGAGCTCCCCCGGCCCTGTGCAACGCAGGTCCGAACAAAGGAAACATGCGGGACTGGACGGCAACAGTATTCGGTCCTCCGGCCAGCCCTTATCAGGGGGGAATGTTTAAGCTTAATATCAAATTTCCCGCTGACTATCCTCAAAAACCCCCAGACGTTACGTTTGTAACTAAAATATTCCACATGAACGTGGCTGAGGATGGATACATTTGCTTGGATATCTTGAATCCTAGTAAAAGTTGGAAAAGTAACATTTCCGTGAAATAAATTCTGCTTGCTATTTGCGCTCTTTTGTCAGCCCCAAATCCGGATGACCCCAACAACTGGGAAAAGGCTCAACTGTACCTAAATGATAGGATCAAGTACAGTCAAACTGCACAAGAGTGGACGGAAAGATATGCAAAATAGTTTATTAATAGATAATAAAAAACCTCATTAAAACGCTCAACGCTGTTTTGTATTTATTTTATGCATATATATTACATTGTTGTTGTTGTTGTTGTTGTTAAGCCTTTATTCACGTGTCAACAGAGATCAATTCATAACAAATTGGTTTACACACCATGACACAAGTAGCAATATATATTTTTTAAAGCATCTAATCTAACTAAAATAAAAAAATAAAATAAAAAGACGGGTAATATATATAATCAAGTGATCATAATCATAAAACAAAATACAATTCCATGTTAAAAAGTCCGCATTGTGGCCAATATACAAACAGATAGGATATGCTCATGTTCTTATCCTACTCCATATTGTTTAAAATTACTTATACATAACTCGTAGTTATGGTTGAAACAATTAATTGTGTGAACTATTTCATTGTATTGACTGCATAAAGGATTCAAAATTTTCACTAATTTGCGCATTACTTTGCCATAATTAACAAAATTATTATCATTGCTATTTGTTACGATTAATTTGCTCTTGAAAATGGGAACACAGTTAGGACACGACCAGGTTTTAGACACAAATACGTTGCAAAAAGATTTGTCAGTAAGTTTAAAATTGCAGTTATTTCTGTGAAAGAAATTTAAACAGTATACACATTGCAATACTCCACTATTCGCACAAGATTCGGCAAGGTCATCTTGAAAAAGTACTGTGTAGTTTGTTCCATTGTGTTTAAAAGGAGTTGAGACGTCGATGATTTCCTGTCCGCAGAGGTGACAGTCTGGTCCCAAAGCTTGGTCGTCGTCCCAGTATACGAAATTAAGTAGGTCGTAGATTTCGCTGTTTTCCTTATCTGCCATCCCGCCTGTCAGGACTATTGCGTTGGTTGAGGGATGCGCGAGTATTACGGCTTCATCGACGGTCATCAGTTTTGTCATATTGTGATAGGGCCCGACAAAAAACCATACAATAATCAGTGAAAAGGTGAACCATAAATGAACAGATATCTAGAATAAAGGATCAGATCTCGCCTTAAGAAGGCACTTTACGTGCAACAGAGCGGCCAGCCCGCAGACAACCGCACGGTCTCAAACTCCGACCGAGCACTTGGGGGCGTAGAGGACACTCCGTGTATAAGCGGGAATCCCCTCAGAAGAAGTACGGTGGAATAGAGTGAGCAGAATTTTGCATCTGGAACAGTCCACTTCAGCAGGAACGGGGGGAGGTCGGCAGTTGGAAAATCCAAAAGTTGCACAGAACGGTCAAACACGGTCGAGGTCAAAAAATTCATCTACCACTATCTTGTTGGGGTCAATAGGGAGAGGATGACACTAATTACAGCGTTGGGGGTGTCGAAAAAACCCCAAATTTTTTAAAACAAAAAATAATAGAGAGAGAGCAGAAGAGAATGTGTTGCTCTCAAGTTCTGTGTGTGTGTTACATTATTTTTAATACTTCAGTAAACAGTAAACAGTAAACAGAAAACAATTAGGCCAAATCCAAGAATTAAATTGTTTTAGCCCGATCCAGGCCTTACATGGACGCGTTTTGTCTGTCTGCATGACGGAGTGACGTACGATGCCTCTCCTCTCGTAAAACTTATTCTATGGACTTGAAATTTGGAATAAAATTTGCATACAGGTAAAACATGAAAAATTAGGAAGAAAGTTCAAATTTTCAGAAATTAACTCCTGAAAAAGCTATAATTTTGCACAGACGTCACTCATGGGATCTAATGAAAGTATGTGAAGTTATCTAAATGTGCGCAAAATGGAGTGCTTATCTTAGTTTGCACCTCATTGACTACATTGAATACATACAGAACATCACAAATATGTAATTGATAACCCAAGCTCGCATGATTACTTCGTCCTTCATTTTAAAATTAATTATGAGCCAACATTTGTTGACAGCTCATAGACTTTGAGACCATTGCAGTACCGCTTTGCATAGCCCAAACCAGGATTATTACCACCAATTTGCCACTTATATAGTAGGGGTTGAAAACTTGAAACCCATTTTATGGGAATGTATGTGTAGTCAATAGTTGTTCCTCTGTCCGTCTGTATAATGAAAGTCTGAGTTTTGAGATGCGGTTTTCACCAACTTTTTTAACGTTAAAACCTCCTAGGTCACAAAATAGGTAATGACCTGTTAGACGACAAAAGCACATAGCAGGTTTGCATTGTTGGTCGTACCCGTCAAGGTCAAAAAGGTCACTTAAGGGTCATATGCATATGTATGTCGATTTATTAGGATATTTACTCCTGGATTCAATAGTAACCTCCATTTTGACCTCAAAGGTCACAAGAGGTGAGCGATCAATCAATACGCCCCACATAAAGGTGCATTTATGCTTCACGTCATCGTTACGTCCTCCTCCAAATCCGATTTTTTGATTGGTTAAAATTTATAATTGTCGTAGTGATAATTAGGTTCAGCCAATCAAAAAATCGGATTTGAAGGAGGACGTGACGATGACGTGAAGCATAAACACCACTTAACACCTATTCCGTGGGTTTCACGGTGAAACTTTCACCCCGTTGCAACGCGTTGTAGCATGCGTTTTCGGGTTTCATTTCTTCTGCAAACCAACTTGAAACCAATACCTGAAATAACGAAAAATGCGCAAGGTCAGATTTATTCCACGACGCCCATACCACAGCCCTGAACAGCTGCAACAAATTTGCAATTCAAGTATGCTCAGTAAATTTATTTGATGATACCATGGCTCACGTTGTTTGATGGACACATACATTCGTTATCAACTTTTTACTATCTGTGCATACCTTCATGTTTAATACGACCACATAGGGAACGTCCATATATTACGTCATAAAAAAGGTTGGTGGGTGGTTTTGGGTCGCCTGTCATATTCTTGTTAAGCTTAGCAGGAACAGAATAGGAAGGCGGTGGGTGGATTATCTTAAAATCTTAAAATCCCTGACGTAATACATGGACGTTCCCATAGATCGAATGCTCTTAACAAATATTTGCAACACACCGTTATATCATCACTGTATTCACCTTAACTTGAGAACGCACAATTCTTATTATTTATCGGTTTATTAGTGTTTATTGAAAAAATGGCATTTGACAGCCGCCTTTCAATTTTATTTTCCTTATTTCAGGGAAATAAGGTTTTCCGGGATGTTCTTGAAAGCAGAAGATCGACCACTTTTGAATATATTGTTGATTTAATAAAAATTGTTGAAGTTTTTGATCAGGGCTCCAATCAAATTGGAAAGTTGAAAGAGTTTGATCGTTTGAAAAAATTTTTGCTTGAGGGGGTTAGCGAAGGTGCAAGAAATTTTGGTAAGCATTGATAAAGAGGGTGCAAATTTAAGTCTTGAATAATTTAATTAGAATAAATAATTGAGATTTAATAAGAAACGACGATTTTTTAAATACGAATTTCAGATAAAGCAGTCTTCGTAAAGGAACTTCTTTCCAAGGTTTTGTACATGCCTGCTTGCATCCAATATTGCGAAAACTCCAGAATTCCCTTTGCGTATATCCATCACGTAAAATTAAATCCAGACCCCTTTAACATTCAATGCTAATGATTTCACACTGAGCGGGATCGAATCAATGCTGACCACGGTGTTTGGACAGGCTGTGACCGCAAGCCGTTTCAGACATGGAAATGTCTTCATCGCCAATGCAAATTCCGCCTCGTTCATCTCCACCCTGGAAAGATTTAATTTAATCATGGAATGAAATCGGAAAGTTTAATTTTATCCAGCTGTAAAAACTCGAGGTTTACACAGGAACTAAAAGCCGACACGCTCGACCAAGGAAGCACGCAGTACTTGAGCTTTATCGTGGTCAGTGTTTTCGCGAAATTTGGCAAGGTTTGATAAACGTGGAGAGCCCCGCGTCGTCCTGCGAGGCAAAGAAATACTTGGGCGTCTTCAAGTGATGGTTGATTGGTAGAATTTGGGGGTAGTTTCCAGGTTGATAAGGGGTCGCCCTTTTTCTTCGGTTGGTTCAACTTTGTGGTGGACGTGGTGGAGTTAAGTTGAACATTTTTAGGCTTCACCGGATTAACGTCGATGGGCTTGGTCTGAATTTTTCCAGTAAAGCAGGGGAGTAAATGCTCGTTCCGACATTGGCGGAGAAGTATGAGGAATATTTCCATCTCTATGTGCACCCTCTTGTCCAAAAGGGCAAGGTAGAGTGTACGCATTTTAGCGACGGGGTCACGTTCTTGTACCTGCAAGTGAGAAACTGCAAGTAAGAAGTGTGGTCAATACTTATCTTAAAAAAATGGAAATTTTAAATTTTATCTTTTACCAAATTTTCATAGTGAAGGTGGTCGCGGAGTATGCCATTTTCTACGAGTAGGTTAAAAAACCATTGGAAATTTTTTGTAGATTGAGACAAATAATCGATTTTCTTGAGGATTTGTTGTTTTAAAAAATCCATTTCGTTAAATCAGATTTAAAGTGGATGTTTTTAATTGTAATATGTCATCTTTATGCAGGAATATGTATGTATACTTTATTAAAGTAAGTGAAATTGTTTATGGTTAAGTTAATATTGGTTGCAATATTTCACTCGGGTAATAATCACTATTGATAAGATAACTAACAAAGGGGGCGCAAACCATGTTCAACCCAGATTATTTTTTGTCTATCGCTGTTTGAAAGAGAAATCCTTGAGAAACAACATTTAAGTAGTTCGACATTTGCTCAGATGCGCAAAATTCAGAATGTTAGCCTAACACTGTTAGGGACGCTGCAAGGCAGAGGTGCAATCGCGAGGTACAGATTCCATTTGAAACCCCATCGTCTTCGCAAACTTGCGGTGCCCGTAACGCGCTGAATTTTGCGCATCTGCACACGTGTCGCAGTAAATGTTTTTTCTAAATGGTTTTTCTTTCAAAAGAAGATAGTTAAAAAATAATCTGGGTTGAACATGGTTGAGCCCCCTTTGTAAGATAATAATTGACAAGTTTTGATATGCAGATACTTCCTACCGATAAAGGTTACTTGGCAAATAAAAACATAAATGGACAGTTTCGCATAGTTTGATAAATTCTTTGCAATCCTTGTCACCGGAAGTTCTCATTTTCTCCATTTCCCTTGAATTATACCCATTTTGCAAAAGTTTCTCCAATTTTGGCCACGGCTTCACGGACGAAGCTGTTCCGTTTCTTCGCATTTTCACCCAACAATGTTTCCCGGAAGAAGCGTTTAATTGATCCGCATTCCATTTTACATATGTCACGAAATCGCAGCTATCCGTATTACGCTCATCCCATCTGGCGCATATTATCGCGTACAGCTGCAGATGTACGGATTTTCCATCTGAAATGTAGCATTGCTGTTATTAAAGATGCAAAATTACTCTGAAAGTTTGTATTAAGGCGTAAAACCCCTTTATGGGAATGATTTGTCCGTCCGTCTGTCTGTTCGTTAATGGACCTTACTGTTCAGCAAATATAAATAACTCGTCTCAATTCCTTAAAAAATTCTGAGAGGTTATTTGGTTGTAAAATGTTAAGAAGAAATAATTTGCCAGGAAACCTTTCAGATTATTTTGAATTGTTAATATTGGCTGAACAGTAGGCCACACAAAATAAACGTGACCGTTTTGATGACAAAGACGTTGAGGTGGTTTCGCTCCTTTGTTATCCCGTTTGAACATCCCGTTTGAACATATTTAATATAAACACGCTAAATTTACCTTGATGAACCAATGCTAGATTAATAGCGATGCTAGGAACAATACAGCTCGGACCAATAATTTTGCCAGCTGGTTTTGATATTTGTATAATCAATTGAGGATTAGGAACTCCTACAATTCGCAAATTCTGACAAATCATTGATTCATGGAAAAGCTTATCCAAGGTCGCAACCCCATTAAAGGAAGATGATGAGGTCGCTGTCTGGACTATAAACAAGTGATGAATAAACGCTCCGCTGGTCACGTACTGGATAAATGGAACAGTTGCAAATACTTCCGCGAAAAGGAGAGACAATGTCTTATCCACGCCTGAAATTTGCGGATACACTCTCAATAATTGTGTGAAATGATTCTTACTGCCAGAAATTCTAACGCTTCAGTAATAATGTATCACCGCAGGGTAACATATATACTGAGGCTAAATCCTGGTCAGCCCCCAATGTCATAGCTCCGGTAATAAAAATATTACTTGCACCGGAAGCAATTTGTGAGGTGTTACCGAGCGGTAGAATTGCATAATGGCCGGTAACAATCGTATCACAAAATTATTGAGAGTGATGTAAAAATGATACATGTGAAATAGTGTATTCAGTTAATACCGATATTGTTTTCGCGAAATTTTGCACACTTTTCCCTCATCGCGGTCATTAAATTTGGCACAGCCCGCTTAGAACATAAGAAGGGAGGTGACCTCAGTTGATCCACAACTTCTTCCAACAATCGAGCACATGTTCGCGTTCTTGAATCTGCATACCGTGTTTGGACATAAACATCATCGTTGATCCGTGTATTCGAAAATATAGCAAAAAGTAGGGATTCTAGGGCAAAATTTGAACCATTTCCGGTTTTAAATCCCTTATTTTCACCGATCCCTAAACAAAGATAAGACAAAGATTTAAAATTATTAAGTAGTGTGAGCTGCTTATTGCGATCGTTTTGTCCGTCTGTAAGCAGGATGTTATATTTGTTTGCAATGGTTTATTTTAGAGTAAATGTATTTATGTAGAACTCACCAAAATCGTTTAAATGAGCACATTTGTAATCATTTCTCGCCTCTGGGAATTTATTTTAAAATTCTGGACTACATCTTTACAACAGGTCATTGTCAATTTAAAAAAATATACACTCCAAATTTCGACACTTTTTGAAGGAGATCTCAAGTTTAAGAAGGTTCAGAAGGTTATTGGGGGTATTATTGGATGAAGACCTTAAGTTCAATAATCAATGTGATAAGGTAATAAAAAGTTGTAACAGCTCTCTTTGGTCACTTGGTCCCCTAAAAAATGTCGTGGAACGCAAGAATAAGGTACTATTAATACATGCACTGGTATTCTCTAGTCTGTTATACGCATCTCCTGTATGGCTATTTGGTAAGAATAATTTAAAGTGTGTAAATAAGGTAATCAGAAAATGTGCAAGATATGTATGCAATAAAGGGAAATATGACCCTATATCCGATGACTTATCAGTCGACTTGGAATGGTTAGTAGCGGAAAATATGGTGCAGGCTGAGTTGTGTAAATGTGTGTCTAAAATGCTAAATGGCTGCTGTCCCAAATATTTTGCCAATTATGTACCAATAAGCACCGTTATATATAGAAATACTCGAAATAATACTTACTATAAGCCAGATATTTTAATTAGTAATAATATTGCCAAAAAGTCCTTTAAATATAGGGCAGCAATGTCATGGTCTAATCTACCATTAAATTTAAAAAATGAGCATGGAAAGATGAGTCTAATTATGTTTAAAAAAGAGGTGAAGAAGTACTTTTTAAATGTCCAGAATACAAAAAGAGTTATAGAATTATTCGAGTTATTCGATTCGGATGAGTATCAAGATTTTCTATGACGTAATCATCATTTGGTATATGTATGTACAAGCAAAATGAAAATTGTGTAATGTATGACTTTCTTTTTTATCCTTGAGGTGTAAAGTCCCATGCAGTGGGGTGCCTCATTGAAATAAATCAAATCAAATCAAATCAGAACAATTGGGACTCAAAAACCTAACGGCCATTCTATTGAGAAATCGATTTACTAAAAACTTGTCAAGAATTTTAAAATAAATTCCCATAGCTGAAAATTGGTTACAAATGTGTTGATTTTAACGATTTTGGTGATAAGTCATCAACTCGTTAAGCATCATATTTCATCATACGTTCAACTTGCGACATTCTATCGGGTTGAAGTCGGCGTAAATCTCCAATCTCGTCCATGCTGTTGTTCAAATCGTATGTGAATATGGTAATGGTAATGAAATGTGTCACATTTTCCATCATCTTGGTAGTTTGCACTGTCGTGATAACGTTACTAAATTAAGATTCAATTTTATGAAAATAATAATAGGAACCTGTGGGAACGCCCAAATATTACGTAATCAGAATCATCAGGTGGATGGTCTAAGAATGAGCATTTTTCTGATCATGTAAATTAGTGACGTAATATACTGACGTTCCCTGTACGCCTGTGTACCTCCTATTGATGTAAAGCCGCGTTCCACACCACGGAGAAAATTTGTAAGAAATTGTGCGGCCAAACTGTTACTCGATAGGAATGTTGATCTGGTTTGAATTTGAGATTGGGGAGAAGCGTGTGGCCGAATATTGGGTGGATTTCTAACATTCGGTCCAGGTTGCGCGATAGTTTGTCTCGGTTTAACAATGCTTGATGATCGGGGGGGAAGGATGACGGGATTTCTGTTTACAATTGTATTTGATGTCCCGGGAGGCCGTAGAAGTTGTTGAGTATTTGAAGAAACCTACGATAAAATGTTGTAAAGAACAGTGTTTCGTTTTTTGCACTGAAAAGCAAGAAACGCAAGGTGCAAGAAATTGTTAGAAAAATGCGCCATCTAGCCACGCACCGTAAAGCGGCGGGAAGGAGTTTCTTGCACTTTACGTTAATTCCAGGTCAAAATAGCTGCAAGAAACCACTTTCTTCCCGTTATTTCTTACAAGTGGTTACTTGCACCCGAAGCACTGGTAAATAGTTGTAAATATGTGTTTAATTTAAGCAGAGGGGAGCGCGTGCACGAATATTATTATATTTAAGCGGATTTCTAACATTCAGTTGTGGTTGCGGCATAGTTTGTGGCGTGTTAACAACGCCTCGTTGCAAAGGTTGCGGTGGAACGACCCTGGGATCTCGGTTCGGTCCTGGTTGCGCGATAGCTTGTCTCGGTTTAACAATACTTGATGATCGCGGGGGAACGGTGACGGGATTTCTGTTCACAATTGTATTTGGTGTCCCGTCATGCGTGGGGGGCCGTGGAAGTTGTTGAGTATTTGAAGAAACCTACGACAAAATGGCATAAACAATTGTACGTATAAAATTTTAACATAGGACTAGTTGACTCATCTCTTAAAATCGTCAAAATCAGCACATTCTTAATTATTTCTCCGCTCTGAGAATTTATTTTAAAACTGAACGACTAATTTGTAGGGAAGGTAGTTGGCAAGTTAAAAAAACAAAGGTGCACTCCAGACGTTGACAATTTTTGACGGAGGAGATCTCAAGTTTAAAAGCCTTCATAAAATTTCAACTCGTCGAGACTAGCTCAGAAAAACTCACCGCCATTCTATTAATTACTTACTGACTGCAAATGTGTCATCCAGAATTTTAAAATAAATTCCCAGAACCGAGAATAGATTAAAAATATGGTGATTTTGGCTACTTATGAGTCATCAAGCCCTAATTGAAGGACTTTTTTTTGCAACTAACGTTAGGATTAATAAACCCGTATTCTTTTCCGTCCTGAGAATTGGCATAGATGCAAAAGTGAATATCCGGTAAGAGGCGGGTTACCAGCATTTTCCGACTTTTTGAGTCGTTACCAGTTATTGCAAACAGCGTCGGATCATCGGCATTCATTCTATTGATGGCATCAACCTCTTGTTCCATATCGTTTAGAAAAACTACCTACATAAATTTATTTCCAGGATCTTAATTAGCATAAATTTGGACATGATAATAATTGGGGCCAAAATACTTTGTAAAATTTTGAGCTCCTTTTTCCAAGCGTTTGAATTCAATTTTCAGGGCAGTTACACTCGCAAAAAAGAAGAGACTCCACTTGGAGGGGACAGCAGTCATTCGGAAATATAGGTTTTGTGAAGAAATTAACTTTTTATCGGGGTCACGATTTAAAAAAATAAAGTATTTTGACAGCGATAAAACCCCACAGTTAGTGCAGCATTACTTAGCCCGAGTCAGGTCGTTATTAATAATTGAGTTGGGAATAATGCGACCGCTACAACGTTTTTATTTTCAACAGATTTTGCCTATTCTAATTTCCTAATTTAGCGTATTCTACGTGTGTACAAAATTTCAAGTCGGTTGGACAAGTTTTACCAGCGTAATCAATAGACAGACATATAACCTGACGGGTACATAAGATCTGACCCTGCCAAAAGTTAATTTTTTGAAAAAACCTGTATGTTCATATGAACTCACTTAAATTCTCGTCTTTTTGTGGGTGAAATAGCCCTGGAAATCCAAACCCTTTTAAGAAGAACAGAGGTCAAAACAAAAGTCAACGCAGGCCGATTTGACAGCCCACGCCAATTTTTTCAGTGGCGTCGCCGATGCGGCACGGCGCCACAATGTTGTAGGAATGGTAAATCCAAACATATCGCCGTCGCGCCACGTAAAATGCTACTAGCGGCGCGGCGGCATTGGCCTCTGGCTTAAAATACTATATATTTTGACAAAATGTTCTGGGTACAGACAATAAAAACTTTACGCACTTCCGGCTGCCCACCAGGTGCCATCGAGTCAAAATACACCCATTCTTTTTTAGACCGGATAAAACAAGTGTAGTGACAGTATCGAAGGGTAATCACGGCTTGAAGGTGGAAATCCTGGTGCTTGTGGCCCCCACTTCCAATGGGGACACGTAGGCTGAGAGGTGGAATTATGCCCCGGTATCCAATCAGTTTTCCATTAGCTCGTGGCATTTTTACCAAAAATAACGAAACCGGAACGCTCTCAATGGTTAAGGATTGAGCTCTTAAGCTAATTTCTAAAAGGGACTGCAGTTTTCCAACAGGTGGCGAGAGCGATGGTGGTTGGCCCAGTATAAGTTGGTGGTAGTAGTTAGAACTTCCTCCAAGATAGTGGATAAATGGGGGGAGGTTCATCCCCTTCTTGCAAAGTGTGGTAACAAATTCTTCAACGTCTTCAAAAATAAAATAAAATTCAGAAAGATGTCAAAGAGGATAAAATCAAAAATTGTCATCAAATGAGAAAGTTGAAAATGAGTGTACATATCTGCCCTCTGCTAATAGCTCACCTACCCATCATTTCTCCAATCATTTTAGAGTTTACAGAATATAAAACTCGTCTCAAATTTTGTATGAGTTCGGATCCTGCTCGAGTCGTGTTTCGAAGGTTGGCAACAATCACGCTTAAACTGGTTATGGTAGCACTAACAATTGTGGGCTCAATGTCTTGATTTACTTGGTAGATATGAAAAGTTCGGTGGTGGGTGGACCCTCCATAAAACAAGGCCATCAATGTGGTGTCCAAGTAGCACGAGTTATCTCGTCCCTGAATCCCTTTACCATAGCCATACCCTGAAAAGTGACCAATACTTTAAACCAGGGTTTCCAGTGTAGGTAATCATAATGACGGCAACAAACTGGTTGTTTGAAGCTATTTTGACCTACAAGAAAGGCAAGGTGCAAGAAACTACACCCCGCCGATGTTCATACGACGCATATTTCATGCACTTTCTCCCAGTTTATTGCACCTTGCATTTCTTGCATTTCTTGATTTGCAGTGCAAGAAATATAGCAAACCCGCAGGAAATAAATGAAACTATGAAACACCGCGTTTTGTCTCCATCACCGTCGTTTTTAAAACGGTGCCACGAATTATGAATCACACCTTAGAATTTTTTTACTCACTTTCTATTGGAGATCCCATTACGAAAACGGCACAAATATATTAAGCTTGAAAATTAAAAAAGTTATTGATAGCAGGATCAAACCATTCATGGGAAATAAATGAGCTCTGGCGTGTCATATCATCACAATAAAACAGATGATGATCTCATTTAGCTAGTCTTATCACAGAATGCGCAGAATATTATCACAATTAATGTGAAGAGTTGAGCACAACTTCATTGGACTTTATGTAGCTAGATAGATTCGCAAACATTTTGGTCGGTCATAATGGTTCAGTTGGAATTTTGAGCAAACAAGCTTGTTTCTAAAAAGAATAAATAAACCGAACATAAAAAAGTGGCATTAATTGAAATTTCCTTTAAAATGACACCACATATGACAATTACGCATTTTTGACCTTTGACCTCATCCTCACGGACATATGTCCAACATATGAACCACAATTTTGATTTTTACATTAGCAATCTAAAATTTTCATCATTTTCTCAAAATAATTTTGTGATATAGTCAAAAACTGATGCGCAAAGTATGTATCACATGTCTTTCAGCTCCTAACCAAACAACAATATTTTCGATTTTTGCATATGAGAACAATTCAGGGGTCAAGCATGTTTTTTTAGCTAATCTAGTGTACAAATATGTTTTATTGAATCTGTGCATTCAAAACTTCTGTAGTTTTTTCTTCCCACAGCCGTAAATTCTTCCCCTCTAATAAAACTCATCCATCAAAAATGGAAGCACTAGTGGCGAGTTATAAATATGTACTTAATTATTACTTTATTTATAATCATGAAGTTGCTTGATAATTTTCTCTAACTATTGACATTTTAAAATTCAATTTTAAAATTAACATCATTTTAAAATTCTCAAAAACATTTTAAAAACTTTTTTTGTAAAAGAAAAGTATATGTGCTATTGTAATCTGGATGATTATAAAAATAATGTGCAAACATAAATATATATTACTGCATAAATGTGCTAAAAATCTATCTATCTAGTGTTGTTACAGAGCCTCTGTATATAGTTTCAGAAGTTTGATAATTTCAGCTTGGCTATCTCACTTTTTGAATGGAACCCCACTTTGTGGTCGCTGTGGACGTCTCATATCCTTGCATCTGAAATTATCGTAAAATCATTTGTAAAATAGTACTCATTGACATTTTAAGTTAATTAAGTGCAATGTTTGGAGACACTTAATTGCACAGTATAGGGACTCACTGAAGGAATGTTTATCACGCTCTGGGGAGATAAATTTTCTCGGTTGCGATTGCTGTTCTGAGGGGGAGTTTATAGAATTGTGCGGCCTAATTATGAGAGGAAACATTTCGTCTGACCCTTCTAACTTAGGATTAGTTAGTAGTTCGTGACGAGCTTCACAACGTTCTAAACATTTTTTAAAGTGGTCCCACATATATTGAACATCGGTAGGAAATGTTGGAATGTCAAATATGTCAAACACCCAGGATTTGCCAGTTTTTAAAGTTATGGTGCAGCAGGACTCTGACTTGAAAATTTTACCTGCTCCTGTATTACAAATTACAAAATGTTAATATTTATATAGAAAATTTACAAATTATAATTAAAAACGAACGCATTCTAGTTACAGCGTACCTTGATAAAAACAAGCTTGGAAGTCATTGATGGGATCATTCTCCATGAGATAGCATTTGGCAAGTGGGGTATAATATATCATTTTTGGGGTTCTTTTTTTTACAAGTTCCACAAATTTGTAAGCATAGGAATATTTTTTCCAGTATTTTTGAGGTATATTGGTATAACTATACATCGTATCAGCTCCAGCGGTAGGTAGTGGGGGTGGGTTATCCGAGACCTTAACACCCCGTCCCTTCTTTGGGTGGTATATAATTATCTGTAGACCCATAAATTTGCATCATTAGCCATTCATACTCTTTACTCATCATCAATTAATAGTAAAAGCTGGGAAGTAGATAAGAGATCTCGTACCCGCATCCCGTCAGAAGAAATCTTCATTACTTCCCAGACTCGTTCTTGCCCTTCGATTTGTCTTGTGAATTCAAGACAGACGTCACTCGTTTCAAGAATGTTACAAACCACATTTTTTGCTTTTTGTCTAATCGGTCGCAGACGTATCGCACATACAGGAGCTACTGGAATTTTTTTAGTATTGTCATCGAAAATACTACCACAAAGACCACCTAATTTATTTTTTTCAACATTCGATGATCCGATTTTCTCTGAAGCAGGAGGAGCACAAGCAACATCTTCAGTCTTACTACTTCTACGATTGTCTTTATACTTTGGTGTTGTGGAACAGCAACTACTTTTTGCAGTTGTTAGACAGATCTCGCTATGAGGGCAGGTTTGCTGTGTTTGTCGCCATGCGTAGATGCAATTATTTCCCTGACATATTCCAGAATGTTGGAGGTGACAGTATTGAACTGGAGCACATTGGAAAGAGCAAGACGTTTCTGCAGGTAGAAATCTATTTGGCGTTGAATGTGTACAAGATCCTTCACAGAATTCCTCTCCTCCTCCAAGCTGGCGATTTACGGGTGGTAGTGGGTGCGAGTGCGTTTCCTGGTTTAGACAGAGATGTCCACTTCTGGAACAACCATCGGATCCAATATGAGAGGCGCAAGTTGGGTATACATACCCTCTCGAGTTAATATTAATTGGCGACGTGTATGACGCAGTAGTAAGTCCACTGTCATATAACATTGAGCGTCCGTTGACAGAATTTTTGGCCTGAAACTTCAAGATGAACGAGTGATCCAAAATATTTTTGAGATTAATCCGATCTATTGGATTTTTTTGCAGGAGGGCTCTTATCAAATCTTTCGCTTCAAGTGAAACAAATGCTGGAAACTTGATATCGGACATGACCACCCTCGTCAGGGTAGATTTGAGTCCATTTTCAGTTTCAAAGGGAGGCTTCCCAACGAGACAGGTGTACAGCAGGATTCCAAGTCCCCAGACATCTGTCGAGAGACCGTGAGGTTCATGGGTGGCAACTTCTGGCGACATATAGTTTGGAGTCCCACATATAGTCATTTGCTTTTGATCGGCTCGCTCCAATTGGATAGCTAATCCGAAATCTGATATTTTCTGTGCATACAAAAATAATGACATTGAAATAGTAACAATGGAGGTCACCCAGCGTATGCTCTCCAATTTTAACCAAGTTAATGTCAATCGATCACAAGTTTAATTAATTTGAAATTTGAAAAAGTATGATCTCCCAATGGGCACGTTTCCAGAGATGTTTGCATCCGAAGAGGATAAAATTAGCAGTAAGTTTGGAAAGTGTAAAATTTGTCAACTTTAGGGCCCGTTTTCTCTAAATTGAATGCAAATCTCTCTGCAAAACCTGTGCATTGGGAGATCATATCTTTTGAAGATGTCATATTAACTAAATTTGCGATCGATTGACACTAATTTGGTAAAAATCGGAGAGCCTACGCTGAGAGACCTCCATTGTAAGCACATAACCAAATAACCACTCATTTTCTTCGATTTAAAAATAAAAATATCCAACTTACAATATTCATATCTTTGGTAAGTAAAATATTGGCAAGCGTAATATCCCGGTGTATAATTCGATGCGAGTGGAGATACAGCAATCCTTCGACAAGTTGTTTCATAATCGTATAAGCTGAAATATAAATTAAATTCGTCACTACAAGAATGACAATTGAAAGCAAGGTACCAATATCAACAAACCTTCCTGCTCTGACATAATCCGACTGTGATTCCTAAGATATCTTTGAAAGTCTCCATTAAAACAATATTCCAGTACCAGGTAGACATAAGATTCGTCTTCAAAAAAGGTGAATAGTTTGAGAATTGAGGAGTGTTTAAGTCGAGAGTGAATCGTGACCTCTTGATTTACACGACCGGCCATTTTAGCTGTCTTGATTCGCACTCGGTCAATCTAATAAAAACGTAATTAATTATTAATTTCCATAAAATTGTTACTCTTATTACTATCTTGATGGCAACTTCCACACCGGATTTCCTGCATATTGCTCTGTAAACAACTGCAAACCCCCCTCGACCCAATTCCTCGTAAACATGGTATTGCTATATCAAAAAAAATGTTATCAATTCATTCAGGTGTTTGAATTGAATCCTTAATTATTAATTACCACTTATTTATTTACACATACATTGATCGAGTTTCCAAACGTTTCCATTTTAATTATTTCTTTGAAGAAATAATTTAGAACTGAACAGTTCTAAATAGATGATTAAGATTATTCAAGACGATCCCATAATTTTCGAAACGTCCAGCCAGGTCCCCGTGTTCATTTTATTTAGTAGCAGCTGTAAAAATATTGATACACTATAGCAAAAAATTGTCACTATCCATGTCCCATGTGCAACCAAACACATAACTAAACACAAAATTAGTGTATTCTAGAAATTCTTGTTAAATTTTGAAATATATTTAAAAACTGGAAATATTATTATTTTCTTGACCTGACGAGAGAAACCGGAGTCAACAAAATTTTTTAAACAAAAAATTGCGCTTTATTAGACTCTCGGAAACATAAATGAAAAATCACGCATATTCAGCGAAATGGCGTCCAAATCCCACTTTTGTGATCTCTGCAAGTTGCTCCAGAAGATCAACGCAAGCCTGCAGAGCGACGAGTGATGATAAATAAAAAAATAAATGTGTCTCAGAAAATTTTTTATATTTTTTAAAACTTTTTTATTTATTGTTCGTATTCACTCGTCATCATCATCATCATCAAAGTTCATTCACAAGCAGGATGCACGCTAAATAAGTAAGAAATGAATGATGCCTTCTTTATAAACCTCTTTCAGTCTGAAGAAAAAAAGTATAATAACAAAGTTTGCAATACAAAACGTTCCCTACTTTTGTACTTATTTACAAATATAGAGTTTATAAGTCTAACATAAAAATACAGAAAAATCAAGTAGTTTAAAAAAGGTGAAGAGAGCGCATCATTAACAGAAAGAGAGACGCATGTAAGGGCAAGAGTTGCAAAAACTCGTGCAAAAAATATGCAAATATGGCAAACTGGCTTCTCTCATAATTAAGCAGAATTTCCTTCAAACATTTAATTCCCTACTGTAATTAATTAAATCGAAATATTAAGCGCTCTCAAAAATGCGTCAATCTGGCCGTTCGACGCTGCCGCAGAATTCGCACTTAATCCAGACTGAAGATTTGACGAGGGCGATGGAAAATTAAGTTCGCGGACTTCTTGTCGCTGAATTTCTGCCGTTTGATGCGCCCCAGGTCGCAAATGGGGTGGAATAAATTGCAAATTGCTTGTTTGAGTTTGTTGCTGCTGTTCTTGCTGTTGATAAGCATGTCGCGCTAGGAATTGGTTAATTTGGGAGGGATCTTGTGGTTGAGGATGAGGAGAATTGACCGATCTGCCCTGTGGGGGCTCGGACTGATGATAATATTGAATTTGAGGTTGTCCAAATTGCTGAATCTGTGTGTAAGCTCCGGCTCCCGTGGGGGTGGAGAAGGTCGGGGCGGACGTGTAAGTAACCGGCGACGGGGATGGAGACGGGTTGACGGAATAAGCACGAAGCTTCTGGGTCAGCTCGAACTCTTCGTTCGTGTGAGGATTGGCCTGCACTTGGACGGAAGTGTATTGTCCACTTTGTGGGTCGTAAACGAGTTCGGTGCGGTATCGATTACCACCAAAGGAGGAGGTTGGTGGTGGGATTTGTGATGATTGGGGGGATGTGGGGGGTGGGCTCGCGGTGGCTTGTTCTTGACGGAAGGCAGCGTTTCCGAAAACCTGACGTGCAGACAAGTATTTTATTGTTCGCACTCATTTCAATCAGATATTTAACCAAGAGTGGACAAAATATGGGTACTTTGTCAAAATGTGTACAGTATTTTGATCTCCGTTTTTCCTAGGGTTTGGATTTCCAGGGCTGTTAAACCCAAAAGAAGACGACAATCTGCGTGGAGAAGACAGCAGTCATTCGAAAATACAGGTTTCCTGAAGAGAATAAATTTTCATCGCTGTCAAAATACTTTATTTTCAAAAATCTTGAAAACAGTGTATTCAAACACTTTGACAGCGATGAGAAATTAATTTCTTCGTACAACCTGTTTTTGTATGATTGTTGTATTCTCTATGCAGATTCTTGTCTTTTTGTGGGTATAAGAGCCCGGAAACCCTCCTGGGAAGAACGGAGCTCAAAATCTTGTTCACATTTTGACAAAGTATTTTTCCCACCACATTTATAATTAAATTACCTGTCGCCCTGGTTGGCTCGGTTGGTGCACGACCTGTCTGAACGGTTGCTCATACAATGGCTGAGGTTGGTTTTGTGGTCGGGCAGGGATGGCGGCGAGGCGGTGAACTTCCTGGTCAAAGTTGAAGAGACCTCGGCCAAATCCGGGGGGCCTTCTGTTCGTGTCCTCCTCCAAGGACTGGCTCACGTCTTGGAAGACGGAGGGTCGGATGGACTGGAACGAAGGGAATGGTTTCTGTCGGACGAGGAGGGAAGGTTGGTCTTCATCCTCGGCTTGGTTCGTGGCGAAGGTTGGCGATGGGGCTGGGGTCGTGATGCGGACGCGTTGACGGAGGACGAGACCTTGCTGCTGTTGTGGAACCCGGACGCGTTGTCTACACAAATGTCAAGATGATTATTAAGAGGATTTAAATTGCCATTTGCATAGGACTCGGTTACTCATCGCCAAAATCAGCGATCATTTTTCGGCTCTGGGAATTTAATTTAAAATTCTGGAGGACCAATTTGTAGAGCAGGTAGGTGCCAATTAAAAAAATATATATACCCCCAGATTTTTACAGTTTTTGAAGGAGGGGATCTCATAAGTTTAAGAAACCTTCACAAAAATTTGAACTAGTCGAAACTGGCTTAAAAAATTCCAGCGTTCCATTAATCAACTCATTTTGTACAAATATGTCGTCCAGAATTTAAAATAAATTCCCAGAGCGGTAAAATGATTAAAAATGCGGTGATTTTGACGATTAGTCATCGAGTCCTACGTTAATTAGTAATCTTAATACTCACCGGACTGCTGGTCGCACAAAGTTGACCAACTGATCTTCCGGCAATTGTTCTTCTCTAACTTGTTGGAGGCCTTGTTGAATATTGTTCTCTGAGAGTTCGGAAGGTCGCACCCTTTGGCGGAGGATGGGTCGAGACGGAGCTAGCGCGTCCTCTTCCTCGTCCGCTTGTTCTTCTGGGTTTGGATTGTTGGGGTCGCACGGGTTTCCGGAAACGTATTCAAACTCTCGTCGCACTCCTTCGGGGTCAATGTAGCCATATTTTCCTCGCACGACGCAATCCACTCCGCGCGTCTCCTCCTTGAATGAACCATCCTCAGCCTCGTAGCCGAAAGTGAAGGAACCATCCTCGTTGATTTTCTAAGTAATTAAAAAAATATTTAACTTCCCGTTGTAAACGAAGAGACCAATGTTCCGTTTCTTTCGGGTTTGCTACATTTTTTGCATTGCAAATTTGCAAAGCAAGAAATGCGAGAAACTGCAAGAAATATGCGCCATCTAGCCACGCGCCGTATGAAAAAATAACGGCGGGGCGTCGTTTCTTTCACCTTGCATTTCTTGCAGGTCAAAATAGCTTTAAGAAACCACTTTCTTCCAGTTATTTCTTGAAATTGGTTACTTCCACCCGAAACACTAAATGTTTTATTCAATTTACCGAATAGTTTCTCGTCGTCCCCACTTTTTTTTCCTCATCGGCAGCCCCAGCAGTTCCACGGCTCGGCTTGTACCGTACATTTCCCAGGAGGGCGTCTCTATTCACCTGCGACGTTGGTTGGCGGTAGGCGAGTGGAACGGTGCGAATTGGTTCCACCACAGCAGGTTCGCGCTCTTCGTAAAATACCTGAAATAGATAATTACCCATCAATCAATTTTCATAATTTAACGCGACCCTCATTAACTAACAGTGACCCTGCATCTATGCAAATACAAATAATAATTGCCTGCATGCACCACTTATTAAAATTATGCAAAAATTTACACGCACATAAATACGCACCAAATTGCTCCAATTCTCCCAACAGAAAATTGCATTTCATCATCTTTATTAGGACGTGCAGAGGATATACAAATAAGCAAGTAATAAAAATTGGTCCAAAAATCAAACACGTGACGTGACTAAAAAATACCGTGCTTTTATAACATCAATAAATTTGTAATTACTGCATATTTTTACATAATTAATCACCAATTTTGCCAAGTTGATTGGCCCAAGTGTAAAATGAATGAAGAGTAAGTGATTATAAATATTTATTGCTGTCTAACTCTTAATGTTGGAGAGAGAGAGACTTGTTAATTATTCGAGTTTAACACAGGTACCAGAACCAACCACCAATTAGCAGCCGATCAGACTATCCAACAGAAGTATACGACGACACCAATTTTGTCGTCGATTTCTTTACTTTTTCCCTTATCACTCTCTTGGATTGTGCAAGAAAGAAACCGCTTTAGTCGCCAGGAGCAAGAATATCAATAATATGTAACGCAGTATAACAAGCTCTCCTCTTTTTTTGATCGAATGCACAACAATCAAAATCTATAAATGGGAAGGATTCCGTTCTGAATTGGAAATACTGCATGCATAATAAATAACAATATGTAATCGCTTCTGGTCTAATTCTGACCCATGCATGCATGCATAAAAAAAATGCTAAGGAACTCTCATCCATTGTCGACACGCTAAGATGAGAACACAACAACAATATTATTCTGTGTACCACTTGTGGTGTGGTCTTTCATTCAGGAGACGATGAAAAGTGGTCATCTCATCACTGCAAATCTTCTAAACACAAGTGGTTGGTTGATATTTTTAATACATATTTTTGGCACAATCACACCCTAATTTTCTCTCAGAAAAGAATGAGCCACCCTTTTAAGGCGTAGGTTATCGTCAGTGAACAGACCAGCCAACAAAGGAAATGACAAGTGGATAGATAGGCAAATCTTGAATGAATGAGTTATTTATGATGATCCGGCAAAGGCTAGTATTTCAAAAACCATTGGACTACTACACACTGTATGTACAACCTTGATCTATATGAATACGTATTTTGATGCATATTTGTGTACACGCAAATACATATTATGCAATATTTCATAATCAAAATTATCCCCTGCATTGAATTGAATAAGAATTATTATAAATGGGAGACCTGCCCTTAAATACTTGAAATAAAATCCAGAGTAAAAATAACTCTGATTAAGATTCTCGCATGACGTGAAGGTGAGCAGGCAGTCATTGACTATTCTGAATACGAATTAAAATTAGTTTCTTCGAAGAATAATGATCTTAATGATTGATTGATTATCGTGATATTTCTATTTTTCTTAATGGAGAATCAAAAGAATTTATTTATTACGAATCTCTCCTGATCTAGATCGATCAATGATCAAATATAATGATAATTCGAGGTGGTACACTAATCAAAGTTTTTCAAGCATTGTTTCCGTCCGATTGTACCTGTGACCAAAATATGTATGGAAGGAAATATTTGCATGTGTTTCTCATTAAATTGTTGATAATTCGAGGTGGTACACTAATCAAAATTTATATACTTCAGCCATTGTTTCCGAAAATATTTGCATATCCAAAATATGGAAATATTCTCATATAAACATTTACATATTTATGTATTCCTCGTTAAACTGTTACCCATTTATTATACTGCCCCCAAAGCAAACTAGATCTATCTAATTAGCATTCAAATCATGCCATTTACTGGTGCGGTCACAATATTACATTTACATGATGTTAGATATTCCTCGCTCTTCTGCATCCATCTCTCCCTTGATACATATTTATTTACACACGTGACGAAATCGCCAAACTATCGCCAATCACTTTCATCATTGTTTTCGTTTCCTTTCCTCCTCCTCCCTCGACGAAAAGAAGGCATCCCAAGAATACAAAAGATGCGATACACCAAACTAATTGGACTTGTGGGAGCACATTTTCGATATATTGGTCAACCTATCTGAGCCTGAACTGCATCGCTAATTGCATCCACCGATGAACGACGACGAGCAGTAATGAATGATGACCAAGAAGCAATTCTAATATAAAAACGAGATCTAATCTGATCAACGCACATAAAATGACCCGTCTCTTGTCTTGTCTTGTGTGCAGACAATGTTGTTACGCAGACGTCACATTTGCTTATTAACATGCCAATAAAATAGGCCAAGCCGACAGACGAGAAGAATTGATATGCATATGTACATACGTAACCAAGAATTTTAATAAAACAGAAGCAAAATTGTTCTAAAAATTATTAAGGAGTGACTTTTTTCTTTTTGGCTGGCGGAACAAGATTTTTTATTTATTGGATTAATCGCCATCAATATTATTACGCTCGATTAATTGGTTTGCTTAAAAATTTACATCCTGTAGTGAGCAATGTAGAATGACGGAAAATGTATGTAAAATGCACAATTTTCTTGTTTGTTTATTTATTCATGACACTTTTTATGGGCCAATAATTACCTATAAGATGAGATAAGTTAATTAAGTAATGGCGAAAATGTGTGCAAAAATTAGCACTTTTTTACACATTTTAAAGATCAGAATCGGTAGGAGAAACTAAAAAATTTCTAATTCTGGATTCATTTAAGATGCGCCAGACATTAGCACGATTTATGTAGTTAAAAAAGGCAATAAACTCATTAACTCGGGAAGAATAGGAGTCCACAAAATGGTTCTAATTTCCAAATTATATCATTAAAATTACTAGTTCTCCTTTGTTTTGTTTTGCAGGGGTTAAATTTGAATATTAATGATGGAAGCATGACTGCTTAAAAAAGTCAGTGTTTTGTTTCCCTTTCCTTTGATTATGCAAAAGTAACAAAATAATGAAATTTTGACTCTGGTGTGAAATTGTTTGTATAATTTGAAGTGCAATAAAAATTAAAACATGGAACAAATTAGGTGAGAAAAAAGGAACACGACAAAATTCTGATTCAGCTGAAATTACTCACTTACGTGCTTTTAAATATTATTGTCGTAAAATTATTTATTTAACGCCATAAAATGAAAATTATTACGCATTTAGTCCACAAAAGTGGTAATTACATATTACCTCAAATTTTAAAAAAACAAAACGGTACAAATGATCCTACACATTAAGAAATTTGTCTCATTGACATGCTGGTCATGTAAATTATGTAAAATGTTGGCACTAAAATCTGGTAATCGATTAATCGATTTTGACGACGTTTAAAAAAGAGTAATAAAAATGTGGTAATCGATTGATTTTGACGACGTTTGAAGAATAAAAATTTTACAGGAATTTTTTTTACAAGAAATTCCAATAGGTGAAATGGTTAGGTTATAGAATGTTTTTTTTTAATTTGAATTTCTTATTCAGAAATGTCTTTATTTTATTTAATGCACCAACCAAAATGTCAACTTTCCTGTCGTCAAAAACGTTTCGTATTTTTTTACGAGCAAGCTAAGGTATCACTTTATTTTTAATTTTATAGGACTTGACAAATTAGCAAAGGAAAGGTCATCCATAAAAAAAATTTAAGTTGGTCACTTAATATTTAACGTTATAAATATTATGCAATAATATTTTATTGTATTATTTTGTGGATCTCTTCATCTTCTAAAAAGAAAAATGACATTGACACTCGTCGTCTATAACAGAAGATGACTTGAATTGGCTGACATCTGCCCTGATTTTTTTTCTTGTCTCTTACAATAAAAGTGATTGATTATCTCATCCATGTCGAGTTAATGGTGAGGTGAATACGTTAAAAATTTATTTTAAACTTTTAATGCTCTTTCTTCAGCCAGAGATTATTTTTTCCTTGAGTCGAGAACAATATACGACCCTAAATTTATTATCTATTTTACTTTTACGTACGTGGGATGGGATAAGAAAATTGAAATTTGTTTTTGAACCTTGCGTGGGAAATAAATATGTAAACTTCAAATAAATTTTTGGCTGCATAAAAAAACTACTTTAGTTATTTGACCTGTTAACTAAATAATAACTATTTCAATTTAATTATTGTTATCTTCTCTGCGCAATTAGCGAGAGTGGGTAGCGTCTCCTCCCATTTTTTTTACTTGAAGGATATTGAGCTTGAAATTAAATAAAAAGTGAGTGAGATGAGAGATAACTAACTAACTTCTAAATTAAAGTCAAGTCAGTGGCATTCTGATTTTTTAAGCTGCTTATCATACTACACACACACTTTTTACTTATTAAAATTGCACAATCCATGCAGCGCGGAAAGTGTGCCCCTCCTCGCGCTGACATAACGAAAATTGATTTATTCACTGGTTAACAAATAAATAGAGCCAAAATCTACTTTTTGAAATGACAGATCTGAATTAGATTCAGTATTCAGTTGTTAAAATTGTGTAGTTAGTTGACTTCTTGTCGTCGTCCTTATTCGCTGCACAATTCAACTTCAAATCAATTATGTAACTTTGTAAACTGCATGGGATGTAAAACTCGTGGAGGATTTTATTTTATTTGGGTGACCAGACCAGACCACGAACAATGCTCACGGCGTTTTAATTACATGTAAAGCCCTCCAATGAAGTGAGACTACTTGCATCTCAATATCAATTTTATGAAAGCTGAGTCTGTCCAATTTGCAATATTATATAGTTTTTTAAGCTGTGTATTTAGGAGGAGATAGTAATACCCACGCCAAAGAACAGAGCTGTATATGCAGATATTCACCTGGTGGTAATACCTGACTGAATGGGAATGAGATACCTTCCTGTACATTGATTGAAGAGAGCAGATTCTACTTTTGGTTACGTAATGGATGGTGAGGAAAGGCCGAGATAAAATAAAATCTCAGTTTTCCTCAGGCTTAGACAAGATTCGGAATGTGATTTTGGAGATAAAATTGAGATGGTGGTCAGTCAATCGATGATGGGATAGGAAATTGAAGGGAAATAATTAGGTTCCTTGCATATTAAATTTCCTTCCTTTTTGGTCGATGTAAAATATTGCATAGTTTTTTTTACGGGGTATGTTCGGTAATTATCAAGTCTTTTTCTTAACAATTAATAAAATTTCAAAATTTACGACGTCCCTATTTTTTACGGGTACGGTTTACGGCAAAAATTACTCAATTTCTCTACAAAATTTATACCTTACTTGTTGCTTTCATTTTTAGTCTATGCAAAATATTGCTTGATTTTTTATACGGCTACGCTTTCGGTAATTGTCAATTTTTTTCGAAATTTACGACATCGCTATTTTTTACTGGTATGCGGCAATAATTACTAAATTTTTAAATAAAATTTCCAAAATTTCTACGGCTTACTTGTTGCTGTTGTTGCTGTTGGGCTTGTGGTTGCACTACTCGCTGGACCTGTCTCTCGAGTGGGATGGCATTCTGGCTCGTTCTCTGTCTCAAATGTTGCGTTTGTGGCTGAATCTGTGGCGCAGCTGGGGAGGAGGAAGATGACGTCGAAGATGTCGACGTTGTCGACGTGACCACCGTCGTCGTTGCCGTTTCCGCCGTGGGCTTAGGATTTTTTACGCGAACGCGACGAAGCCGTGGCCCAGCTCGGACGACGTTGCCTTGATCATCCACAATGACTGGACGTCGGACACGGTACTTCTTTAATACGCGTTTCGGCGTCGTCGAGTCTTCAGATTCTTGAGCGAACGATAATCCTACGACAAGCGTGAGGAGGAGGACCGTCGAGACCTGAAAGTTTTTAGGGGGTTTTCAACCATATTTTAATTTCTGAAGATTTTTTATACCGAATTTCTGAATCACAAATCTAAAATTCCGTATAAAAAAGCTAAGCTAATTTATTTTCTTACTCTTGATAATCTCATTTTTCCACTTTTTCCCTAATTTCCAGTCGTTACTGACTCTTATTTCCACACTTTTTGTTCAACTTTTTTTCCACTCTTTTGTATTCACTTTTTGTCACACCAATTCACAAAAGTTTGTTCAGATCGTTCCAATTATCCTGCTTCTTGGTTTTTGACATTTGGCGTGCCTCGAGTCTCTTCTCCCACGGACGGAGAACAAATGAAGTAGAGAGTGAAGCCCTGTGGTATTTTATCGCACCTTTTGCTCCTATTTCAAAGACGTCGTAATATCCATCGTGGCGTGCATGCAGAGTATTTAAGAGGAGTCATTCCAATCCAATCCACTAAGAAATATAGAGCAGACATCGACATCAGAAAGTACATAATAATAATAAATAGCAGAGCCAATGGTTAGTTGGTTGGGTGAGATAGTTAGAAGCTGACTTGGTCATGTTTTCATACGATATTACGTGCATAGTTGCTTGATGGATGATGGCATCGTAAGAACTTTTCCTACGACGACGACTACGAAACTTGGGGCGCAATAATTGTATACTTCACAAAAGGTTTACTTTACACACGAGTAAGTAAGTTATTATTCTTGAAGTTAACGTGAACGCAAAGGTATTTATGAGTATGTATGTGTGTATGTTATTGAAATGGTGGGGATGGTGGTGGTGTTACAGTTCTCATGTTTTATGGAAGGATAAGATGCATATTTTGATAATGCGGATTCAATCGTATCAAGAACTTTAATCGAGAGGGGATGGTTTGAGATGTCACTAATTAATGAGAGATACACGGTTTAAATTAAAATGAGACTTGTTTTCTCGCCATGACCGTGAGTAAGGTAAATACGTCTTTTAATCTTAATTATTAATAATATTTACTTGGCAGTTGGTATTTATTAATTTTTTTATCCCACATTTTTTTCAATTAATAAACTTTGATGAGCAGGTGGAAAATTTAATTATAATTTGCCCACAAACTATAATTTTAATATTTACGCGCTTATTTACAAACACAATTTTTTATATTTAACTGTACTTTTTGCACTAAATATTGGCTAATTAAACAAACTAACAGATTTACAGAGTAAAAATTGAAATTTTTTGAAATTTTCCTAATTTTATCTTACTTTCTGGATCATCAATCTAATTTCAATAAAATTTACACCTGAAAAGACAGATTTATGACATCATTCTCCTCTTTTATTTCATTCATTCATCCATTTTCGCCCTCACAGAATTTTGGCTTACTTTTGCCACTCCTTAATTTAATTTTCTTCTCACAACTTGCACTTCCTTCCGTCACTGCAAAATGCAACGAATGTTGACCGCTCTTCTTACATATTTCGCACACACATAATTTTTTATATTCCTTCATCACATTCATCTTTGATTTTAAATTAAATCGAGTAAACGACTGCATTCCATTCCATCCAATTTTCAAATCAGTGCATTTAAGCGCAACAAAAAAAACGAGTTTGCCGTCAAGTTGAGCTGAGCAGTGCAGTACAAAATTGTGACAAAGTAGCGGATGAGAGTGAGTGAGATGACCAAAAGTGAAGTCATAAGGCATCAAATACATAATGACACTCGAGACAAGTAAAACATTTATGTTTTATGACTGCAAGACAAGAGAGGAAAAGGAAATCAGATCGACTATTAACCAACCTACCAACCAACTCTCCAAATAAATAAATAAATGCACATGCACACTCGTAATTTATTGAGTTTACTGCACGCAGACGGGGGGACACAAATTTGTCATCCCTCCCTCCACGGTAGGATGACTCTATTAAGTAAATAATAACAAGTAATTGGTTGGGACAAATGACACAAGGAATTGAAGGAGTAAGTTATTACAGAGGTGCACACACGCTGAGCCAGATTACATGTACATAAGTATTTATTTATTGGTCTCAATTGATTATTGCGACAAAGTTATGTATCAAATAAATAAATAAATATATCGAAATAGGACAGGAATTTGAATGTAATGTGATACTTTTTTTGGTTAACTGGAGCAAATGCTGGCAGACATTTAAATAAATAAATAAATATTTGTACCAGTTAATTAAATGTTGGCAAAATAAGCAATTGAAATTAAAAGTGACAAGCTTATATATTGTTACTGATGACTTCATTTTTTTATGACCGACTTTATTGTAATTGAGCACTGATTTTTTTAGAATTTCAACGACATACATAATTTACATATTTAGATAATCTTATAAATTTCATGATTACGCCAAAAAATTAAAGCGTTTCCGGTAATATAAGTAAGTAATATGCCCTGAAGAAAGAATAAAATTCGAAAAACACGTGTCTTCATAAAACCACACGGTAACTTTTTTTTTTAAACGCTGCGATGAACCAGACCACCTAATCAAAAGTAAAATAATAATAATGACGACTTTTCTTTCCCTAGATTTTTCGAGATTGCTTAAAGTTAGCAATATCCTTGTTTCCGGAATTTAATCTGCTGCACAAAAACAAGGAGAACTTCATTATGGCATTTATTTACTAGTTGCAAGAGGGTGAGGTAAGGTGAGCTAAGGTTTTAGTTCAAATGTTAACACAACAAGTAGCGAAATGTGTGGTATGTGTAGCACAAAAGTTAAGTGTCGTTCTCATGCTGAACATTTAACTACTGCTTCTTTGTGTAAGTAAAGTTAAGTAAAATGCATTCAATTTTTTGCACAAATTAACCGCATTCTGCGCTCATTTGCGAAAAGACAATAAGTAAATGTATCGCGCAGTGGTAAAAGGAATGCCATCAACGAGAATTAAAGAGACAAGTAAATCATTTTTATGGCTAAAATGCGTCTAATGAGCGCATTAAGATTAACATGCTAGAATTTTTTATATGAATTAGTCCAGTAAATATGTAATAATAATTGCAATTGAATTTTACATGGCTTGGTATCTTATCTGTGTAGTTTAGTAAATACATAATTTTAATTGAATTTTAAATATTTCATGAAATACTTAATTCTGACCATTTTGTTTGTAAGATAATGGGAAGAAATGTATACCAAAAATATCTTTTAACAATCGATCTCCTTCCTGGATTAATTACTTGCGCAGATCAAAATTTCTGATAAAAAAATTGATGGGCACGTACGTAAACGAATTAAAGTTCAGGATGCGAGAAAAGTGAATCTGTCTCCATCACTCACGTTCATTTGATTCAATTCAAAACTTTTTTTGCCAAGTTACGATTAATCGTATCCTGCAACATTTTATCATAGTTCGTATGTAACAGAATCCTAAATAATATCCTGTTGCATCTCAGCCAAAATAGGAAGGTGAAGTGCTACTACCTTACATATTAACTACTACTCTGATACTTTTAGTAGACAAGATTATATAACAGTCGTGACTTGACTGACGTGTAAATACATCGATCTCATTCTATGCATACCTCTAAAACATACCTCTTAAACATTGTCCCTGTCAATATCTTCCATGCGACCATCACCCACCACCACAACCACACAATTTGCAACCTTTACCCTGGACTCAATTGTTGCAAAAATTGAAAATACTTGTTTCAGCGGACAAGGCGTGTGACTTGATGAGTACATAATTCTCTTATAATAATAATACTAATAGTTGCAGTCAGTCAGGTACATATGGGTTTAGTTAGTCAGTTGAAGATCATCAGCATTCCCAGTCGTGAACGCCTTGTTCCCTTGTTTTGCCCTTATTGCCATTATTTAAGCGAAGAAAGCGTGCCTGATCGTTTCGTCTTCATTATGAGAATATCGATGACAGTCTCACCCACCACCTCCCAAACTGCTTAAGAATTATCGACACTGACTAACTCACCATTTTTTACAGTGTCACTACCTGACACTGACTAAAACCAGTGAATAACGATGCACTCTATTTTCTATTAAAATTCCAGGCCGGCTTCACAGTGTTTCGTTTTGTCACATTTCTTGCACTTCAAAGCAAGAAATGCAAGCTGCAAGAAACTGCAAGAAACATGACCCATCTAGCCACGCGCCCTATAAACTATTTATAGCAGCAGAGCATAATTTATTGCGCCTTGGATTTCTTGCAGATCAAAATAGCTGCAAGAAACCGCTTTCTTGCAGCTATTTCATGCACGTGGTTATTTCCACCCGAAACACTGCATCAAGACTTTTTACCCAACAATTGACCAAGTCCATAAGAGAAAAATAATATTAAGTAGCTGCATTTATGTATCAAATGTAAAACAAGGTCCAGGGCCAAACCACTAGAAGAAAATAATACGCCCGACCTTGATTTGATTTTAATTCTGGCATAATTACACGCTCGATAATTTTGATTCTTGATCTTGGATGGATGGGTGTAAATTACACCCATCCATCGCAATTGTTCATTGTATGCAACTTGTTGATTGTGCACCAGATTTTCACATCAATTTTGAATCATTATCATCAACTAAGAGTAGTAATATTCAAACCAAAACAAGTTCAACTCTCAAGCCAGCCAGCAATCAGATTTTCTAACATTCAATTCGTGGTATCCAATGCGCGTCCGTAAATCACGATCCGCTTGCCTTTTTATCCTCCTTCTGTTCGATGTTGGCTTTGAATTCGATTGTGATTGGGATGAGATGGCCTTTAAATTTAATATACCGTGAGTTAGTGGCTGTTGGAAATTCGCAACCTTTTTCATGTACGAATATGGTTCATAATAATTCTTTTCGATGTACATATCTCGCTCTCACAAGGTTTCAAATAAGTAAATCCACCTTTAAAACCACACCCTTGTTATTTACAACTGCACACAATTCGTACCAACCCAAAAATAAAAATCATGCTAAATAAATAAATATTTATGTGCGAAATGAAATGAATTCGCTCAAATTTATTTGCTGATTGAACACAGTTTTATTATCAACGTTTTTTATGCAATCTTATCAATTTATTTAGACTGCCCACGGTGGATGAAGCGTAATAAATTCTTACAGTGAAAGTGTCGGCATTGCATTGTTGAAGAAAAGCAGGAACAAAAGAGTAGAATAAAATTTCCCGATTTTTTTCTAATAAGAAATAAATAAAGATGTTTAATCGCAAATTTATTTGCAAATTATTTTTCTTTGTAAATCACTTTATTAGTCGAATTTCGCACTGGACCAATTCATATAAAAGATTGTAATACAATTTTCCGATTTTTTTCCTTTTATTAGGAAATAAACATGTTTAATAAATTTGCACATTTTTTTGCGAATCACTTT